CATAAGTACACATATAAGAATAACATCTATTGGATGTCAGGCAAGGGGGAGGGGGGAGGAGGGAGGAGGGGACGGGTATTTGCATACACTAAGAGTGCAATGCGTACTACCGGGGGATGGACACGCTTGAAACTCGGACTTGGGGGGGACGGGGGAGCAAGGGTAACATATGTAACTTAAACATCTGTACCCCCATAATATGCTGAAAAAAAAAAAGAATAACATTTATTGGATGTTGGGCAGGGGGAGGGGGGAGGAGGGGATGGGCATATGCACTATGAGTGCGATGCGCACCACCGGGGGATGGACACGCTTGAAGCTTGGACTTGCGGGGGTGGAGGGGCAAGGGCAACATACGTAACCTAAACATCTATACCCTCATAATATGCTGAAATTAAAAAAATATATACTAAAAAAAAACCCAAAAAAACAAAAACAAAAGCTATTTTACTTAGATAATACAGTTTTGCTGGATATTCTTTCTGATAATTAAAATGTCTGAGTCTACCACTTCAATCACATAAAAAGTTCAGTGCACACTGACCACACAGCCCAGTGACCTGGACAGATGTGTGGCTTCCCTATTAAATAGATGGGGGGAAATAGTCATTTTGGAGTTGAACAGAGAAACTTAAGAAAATTTCCTGATAAACTAATTTTTAAAACTCGAGGGAAGATTAGACTGCCTCCCACCAGGGCTCCACAGCAGGGGTGTGCAGAGCAGTTCCGTGGGGCAGGCTGGTACCCTATCTGAATGCCCCGCCTTGCTCCTTCCTTTAGCCACTTGACGCCAAGGCACTGGACAAGGCGAATCTGGAAATCGATCCTCTTGCCCAGCATCTCCAGAGGGTCAATAACCATGTCCTCCTCACCACGTGCTCTGCAAACAGAAGAGGTGAACATTGACCTCAGGTTAGACTGGGTCCAAGCAAGTTAGGATTGTGATGGCAAGGGAATTAAGTAGAATCCTTTAGAGATAGCTAATTTCACCAAAGGAAGGATAGGTAATATCACCAGCTGTGGAATTCACTCATTCAGGAGACACTTAACATGGGAGTGCACTCTACACTGGCACCTCAAGGTAAGATCTGGACTTTGAGCTCACAGCCTGGTGGAAAAGAATATAAATAGCTCCATGTGATAATGCATGCAGATGTGGATACTAAACTTGCACTGAAGATTTTGATAGGTGCCCAGTGGGACAGAGGGGAAAGCCAGCTGGCTGCCCAGATACAGCCTCTCAAGTTGTCATTTTCCCTGGTGAATTATTTACAGTCCAGAGTCGACCCCAGGCCTACAAGCTCAGAAATGGATTTGGACAGCTTTCTAACAGGGGAACTCTCGTATGAACCAAGCCCATACAGTCTGAAACTTATCAACTAGACTGCTACTTTATTAATCTGCAATGGGAGATATAACGTCAGGCAGCCTCAAAGCCCCAGGCAGCCAAATGACCAGAAAGTTGCTCAGAGCCCCTGTAAGGACAGTGGGCAGCTTGTTCTCTTGGTCATAGAAGCTCAGCCTTCTCTTACTCCCTTCTGGAGCTGGTTTCCTCTTTAGAAAGGTAAAAGGGTCACATTGGGAACCTAGGAGGGCCTGGCACCCAGACCAGGCCCTCTGCCAGCCTCTTCACTTAGGATTGCTAAAAGACTTTAGCTTTTGTAAAAAACTGTCCATGGCCTGAAGAGGAAAAACAAATGAGCTATCCTGAGAGGGGGTGAAAGGTAATGAGGCAGACTTTAGACAGGACTGATCACTCAAAACAAAGCCCGTGCCCACAGAAAGGTCAGTGACAGCACAGAATGAGGCCAGACATCTCTGTCCCTCCCTTGGGAAAAGGCGCAAAGAAATGGTGAGGCCTGCACGAAGGATGGAGAAGGGGTGAGCTGGAAAATCAGCGTTCTACTCCTGGCTCATAGGAAAAGCATCGTGCATGTGGCCAGGAGCGGGCTGGGAGTGGGAAGGCCCTACAACACCCTTGGCTTCTCTCCTCTGAAGGTTCATTGTTTGGAACTAACCTAGTTCTTTTGGCTCTTGTTCAAGGCTCTTTCTACTACACCTGCCTCTCTGTGGGATGTCCTCCTCATTCCTTGCATCCCCCAGGGCAGTGCTGAGCTGTCTTGAATGTGGTTGGGCATTTCGGGGCAGCTGATTTGGCTATCATGGCAAAAAGTCAGATTTGATGAGGCCACATCATGAATGAATGAGCTCATTCGTTGGTCTTATGAATGACCACTTCAGGGCACCAAGTTGACCACCCCCTCCAGGGAACTCAGGCTTGCTCTGAATTTTCTATGTGTGACTGACCCAGAGCTGGGCAAAGGGGGGAAGGAGACACCCACTGTCCTGTTGGGGTGCAGGGGGCAATGGAGACGTGCAGCACGGCCTCCTCCAGCCCCTCACAGTCCAGAAACGCCACTTGCTCCTCAAGCTTCATGCAGTAGGCAAGTGGCTGGAGCCAGATGTGAGCTGAGCCCAAGTGGACGACCTCGACAGGATCCCAGAATGGGTCGTCGTCTTGGGCCACGTGGCTGTCTTCTCCATCTAGAAAGCGCTGGTAAAGTTCCTCCATTAGGAATTTCCTATTGATAAACTTGGCTTTTGACCAAATCCACACCTGGAAACACAGAGAAGGTCACTAATATTTGATTTCATCTGCTGCTCTAACAGTCATTCTCTCTCTGTGTTATGTATCTTCATAAAAAGGACATTCTCAAAACTCTAAAAACAGACTTCATTCTTTTTCTGTTGGCTTCGAGCAACGTGAAGAAACACAGTACTCCTCTGCCAGAGGCAGTGTAGAGGTTAAGCGCAAACATGGCCATGGCACATACTGTGGTAGCACAGAGAACAGGAATTCCAGTCGCTGTGGTTTTTCTTAAAGACCTAGGCTAGGTGTAGTGCCTGTAATCCCAGTGATTTAGGGGGCTGCGGCAGGAGGGTCACTTGAACCCAGGAGTTCGAGACCAGCCTGGGTATCACAGCAAGAACCCACCTCTAAAAAAAAAAAAAGAAGAAAAAAAATTAGCCAGGCGTGGTGGCACACACCTCCTATCCCAGCTACTCCGGAGGCCAAGGCGGGAGGCTTGCTGGAGCCTAGGAGTTAGAGATTACCGTGAGCTATGATCATGCCACTGCACTCCAGCCTGGGTGACAGAGTGAGACACTGTCTCTAAAAAAGAGAGGGGAAAAAAAAAAAGACTAGGGAACTAAGATAATGGGAATCAAGATGACGAAATGAGTTCACTGCCTCGTTGCCCGTGGATATCAGGCCACAGGCCCTGTGTGAGTTAAACTTGGATGCTGTCCTTGATCTGAGGAGGACACTAGCCAGTGAGGCTCAGGGACAGGCTGGGCCACCTGTGCTGACCCCCTCCCAGGCGGGCCCCGCAGGCCCGGCTCAGAGTTCCCTGGCTGCACGTGCCGCCCACCCAGCCAACAGCTGAAAGGGCCCTGCGAGCTGCCAGCATTTCCAGTTCAGGAAACCCTGCCTGACCCTCACACAGCCCTGGCTTGCTCCCACACTTGTCCTTGATATGACTCTAGCAGGTGCACAAAACTGCACGTGGACACTGTCTCCTCCCCAAGAGCTTTGGCAGCATCCACAGTCCCCGTGGTCGGGGGGTGAACATTTACATCAGCCACCAAAGAAGCACCTGTCATGTCTATACCTGGGACCCACCGCCGCCCTCTGCCTTTTAGCCTCGTCTTTTAGCCTTCGCATGCACACGCTCACCCACACACTCTTCCATGCACACACACACAGCATTCCAAGAAACTACCAGAAGTTACTACCAGCCTTTCAGAGGCCTTCTGAGGAAGGTGGGGCTTCATTTGAGGAAAGGTCACTGGAACTAATCTTATTTTTTTAATGTATAAATGGGCAACCTTGAAGATGACAGATTGGTATGACTCACCTCTGCATGAGAAAAAAGAAAAATAGAAAAAAACACCAAAAAATTGTCATGTAATCCCCACAAAAGAGAACCCTGTGTGGCTTACGCAGAGCATTCCTGTCACACAGTTACCTGGGCCTCTGACAGGACGTCGGGTTGAAGGAAAATGACAGCATTTCGAAGTGTAGCCAGGCCCTCAGCCCCCCTCAGCCCCCCACAGAACACACTTAATGATAAACGTGAAAATGCTACCTTGCGACCTGTTTCTGGTAATGGCAGATCGGTACGAACTTCTAGTAGTTTCTTGGAACGTTGTGTACGTGAGTGTGAGAGAGTGTGTGTGTGTGTGTGTGTGTGTGTGTGCGCGCGTGCGCGCGCGCGTTCAGGTAACCCTTCTGCGAGCAACAACATAAAAGGCTGACTAAAATGTTTTTCAAATCGCCTCAGACTACAATAAAAAAATAAGCAATATAAGACAGAATAACATGGAAAAAAATTTTCAATTACAAATTTTCTTAAAACAAGGTCTGACAAGACAGTGGGAAACTGCCAGAGCAAAATCTGAGGGAAAAGCCCGGCCTGAGAGAGGCACGTGGCATAGGAGCCCCAAAGCTGCTTTGCCCTAACGGCACTGCCAGGGGGAACGGAAACAAAAAGCACAAACAGCTTGAGGGGTCACTCCCTGCCCCCCCCAGGCCGGCTCCCAGCGTGGGGGTGACCCTCCCGCGCCGCGCGGAGGGCAGAGGGCTGCATGGTGAGTGCGGGGCGAGCCAGCACCATCTGGGACGGGAGAGGGTCTGAGGAGCTGGGGCCCTGGCTCGGGTTCCCCCCAGACGCTCACAGCGGGGCTGCGGGTTGGGTGGGGGGTACACGGGTGTTTACAGTATAACATGAACGTTATACGCCACAGTTTTTAAAAGTTTAAAAAATTGGTCTAGACTCAGAACATTCTGGCAACTTTCAGGCAAAAAGCAGAAAAGTGAAACGCAGAGAAGTCCCAGGTGCCGAGCGGAGCAGCGCCTTCAATGGCCGGGCCAGGCCCTGGCTGTGGGCGCGAGCGGCCACCTGACGCCCGCCGGGGCCGAGGCGCAGCCCCCGGGCCGCGGAAGGAGAGCGTGTGCTGGAGCCAGAAGCCGCAGGAGGGATGCGACAAGATAGGCCACCGCTTCCCATTTCCTCCTCTGAAGGCAGAGGGAGCGGAAGCAGGGGCCTAAGTCCCTGAAAAGGACGTTCGTGACGGTGAGCAAGGTCAAACGTGGGCACGGATCGGCTGGTAGAGTTGGCGAAACGCCGTTTCTGGGGTCTTACTAGAAGTGCGAATTTTCTCGTTGCTCCAGCACGGCAGCTCTCTCTCACGCACGCGCACGCCGCACGGGGGCGCCGCCACCGGCTGGATAAACCCCCAGGCTCCCTTCGGGTAGGAACGCCTTCGAGTCACGCTAAACATGAACGGAAAGTGGCAGTGCAGGTGGGTGGGACAGGCCCGGGAAGTGGCGCTGTGTGGGAGGGAGACCCAGGAGAAGGAGCGTGCGAGAGGGCCCTCCTCTCCCGGACTCTGCCCCCAGGACCCCAGCGCAGACTTGCAACGCGTTTTGCCCCTTTCCTGGGTGTCCCGAGGCTGCAGCTGGTAAAAATAACCCGTGTCCCCAGGAAAGCTCCTCAGAAGCGCCTCGTGGAGCCTCACCTGGTGAGTCCTTTGGTTGGTGACCTTCACCATGACCTCCTTTTGTAGGTCATAACCCCTGGAATCTGATGATGCTAAGTTCTTCACCTTCAGTTCCATTTTAAGTCCCTGGTAAAGGAAACGCTTCTCACTAAATAATCCTACATTTATCAGCCCGTATCACCTTTGCATTTCTTGTCCCTCCTGCCCACACCCAGGCTTGCTAAGAGAAGCCAGTCCGACTCTTATTCCTTGGATTCCCCACCTGAGAAAGGACGGAGCATCGTAATTTCCCGGGTATAGCCTGGAACTAACACGTGCAGTCCTCCCTGCCGAAGCGATTAAACCTCTTAAGAGGCTCCCACCGATGGGGATCCCGTGTTGCAGGGAGCTAAGCCCGGCCCAGGTCTCCGTGGCATAGCAGCCGTCAAGGCGCCCAGGCCTGGAGCGGCCCGAACAGCCTGGGGTGGCGTGGTTACGGCCAGCAAGCACTGGCCTGGGGGCCCGGCGGCCCTGGGAGGCCGGCGGCGGGAGGAACGGTGCTCGGGCTGGCTGGGGGGGCCGCCGTCAGTCTAGGTCTGGTACCAGCTTCTGTGGGATCTTCGGAGAGCACCTCACCTCTCCATGCCACGAGGTCCTTTCTGTACCTGCCATCATACCCTTTTCTGCCTCTAGATAAACTACCTTCTTCAGCTCTTCACTCATTTGATTTGCTTCTGCAACCAGGGGCATCAGTTTGATGTAGTCCTGGAACACAGCCAGGACGCTGGGGTCTGCCTCGCCGTCGCCACTGTTTGTGGCGCCTGGAGACAATCAGAATGGAAGCGAAAGTCAGTCACTTGTGCTATCATGAATGCATTTATATGCTCCTTCATTCCTTCAGTTCATCAAATATTTCCATTTTAAAATTATAAGCATGTAATAAAAAAATAACTAAATAAGAGGGTTGGGGGAAAGACACTGCCTGGCTTCTCCTTAAGTAGTTCCTCATCTCAACCCTGAAACGGTGCACATCACGCTCTCTGCCTCTGGTTCCTGTTCTTGGTCTCAGAGTCCTTGAGTCAAGGTGGCTCCAAGCTGTCCAGGGGGGTAAGATCTGCTTGGCCAGAAGGACGGGCTGGGGGCATATCCCGAAGCTGCTGCTGGCACACAAGCTACCTGTTCTTACCTCTAGCATACCTGGGGTGGCTCGGAGGAGGGGTCGTGGAGATCTGGGGAGGACAAGTCCTCCTTGCAGACCCAGTTGGCACCGCCTCTTGTCAGGAATTCTCAACTCCTTAGGGACCCCTGGTGCCCTTGGCCCCGAGGTCTGACCCCAAACCGCCCACACAGCTACTGCCTTGTTGAGGACCCAAGTCTTCACTAGGACCTGAGCCAGGGTCTGGGGTTTGTTCAACCTCCTGGCACGGCCAGCCCTGCGCTGGGAGGGTGGCGGTGCGCGCGACTGCTGTGAGTTAGTAAACAAACAGATGGGGTAGCCAGGTTGGGTGCTACGGAGTCTTGGCGGTTTGTCTTTGGTCAAGAACTTCAGCAGATGAAGAGCAAGAAGGTGAATTTCAAGTGAATTTATTTTGCTAAAGTTCTGAGAAACGCACTTCGGTGGAGGGAAAAGGGAGGAACTCATGTGTACATGTGGACGGAACTCACTGCTCTGCACCTGCGGTTTCCTTAAGGCGAGTTCAGGTCGGGTCCACGTGCCGGGCAAGGTGGAGCGGCCCCTCCGGGAAGCCAGCAGGACGGGCAGAGCTCACCTGCTTCTGGGGAAGCCCACCCTGAGCACGTGGGTCTGGCCTGGGGAGAGGCGGCGAGGGCAGGTCCTCCAGAGCTTCTGAAAGCTCTTGCCTGTGGGAGTCCCGGATTATTGCTGGGGTAGAGAGTGGGTTGAGGGGAGAAGGGGGCGACCTTTGACTCAGACACCTGGGAACATTAGTTCTGCGTCCCGCGGGGCAGGGCCTGGATTTTGCTCCTCGCCTGACTTCCGGCCCAGAGCAGGTTCCCAGTTGGCATCGCCAGCTGTGGGGCCATGGGCTCTTAGAACCATCTTTGCCTTCATTTGTTAGGGAAGCAGTCTAATGAGTTAAGTCTTTGATGTGTACTCACTATATTTGTATGGGAATCATATTTTAACTGTCTAAACACTGTACTTTGACACCATGAAAGAGGATTTTCTTAAGGAAAGCAGAGAGCACACAGTGAGAGCAGTTACTTTCAGACCAGCCCGGGAAGGGGCCACTCACCAAGCTTGTCCACGCTCACTCCCTCCGCGGCCGCTCTCTCCAGCTGGAAGAAGTCGTAGTCAAACCTGCTCAAGTCCTCACCGCCTCGCTCTGAAGGAAACCCCACGTAGAGGTAGGTGCTGTTGGATCCCAAAATAATGCGGTCCTGTGGGGGAGGTCAGTGTGACCAGAGGACAGAGAGGTCAGTGGAGGCTGCTGGCCGGCCGGCTCACGCTTGTGTCCTGTGACAGGGGCACCTCACATGAATCTCCCTTCCTATCTCTGGGGTGGGACCTGGGAAACCCTGTGGCCCAGCAGGAGAGCTTACCAAATGCTGCAGCTTTGTCTTGGTCGCAATGGGCACCCCGTTAACGACAACCTTGCATTTGCTGTGTGGAGCGACCATCACTTTACCATCCGAATTTGTGAAGGAAGCATGTTTATCTGAAATTCTAAGAAGATAAGAGTTTGTCTAAGTCACCCCATACATTACGATTTTAGTGACCAATTCAGGTTGCTCTTTCTCATTTGCACAAGACTACAGATAGCTGCTGAAGAATGGCACGAGGCATCTGCCAGGCCCCCCCGCCCCCATGCTGTGGCCCATGGTGAGCAGAGACAGCAGCGGGCCCAGAAGTAACCTGCCCTTGAGGAGCACAGGGAATTGGGAGATGGCAAAGCAGTTGTTTTCTCAGTAGAGCAAACACTAGCTGGGCAGCTACAGCTGCAGGTGCAGAGACCATAGCTGGAGTTCCTTGAGGCCAGTGGGACGGGAAGATGACAACAAAGATGCTTCAGAAGAGACACCTGGGAGGTGGCTTCATAACGAGCCTTGCATACTACAGGTGAGTTTAGATCTGTTTCTGGGTCTTTATCTACACACATCCAGGCTTTGTATGTTGCAAGGTTTGGAGCTGGCTGTCAGAGCTGTCAGGTTGTCTGCCGCCCAGACGTCATCTGTGTGCCCTGAATGCCCAGCTTCCTAACTGTTTTAGGAGGCTGTACTCCTTGGCCATCATGGAAGGTTCTGGATGTTGAGACCCATGTTCATCCATATCCTTTGTTTGCGTGGGACCCAGGGATCCTGGGGGAAAGGTTTTGGCCTCAGCTTATCATTGGAGTTCAGCCATTTACAGACCCGTGTGTCGGGCTATGGAACGGGTTTGGAAGGGGAGTTGAAGGGAATTGCTAGGAGGAGGTCCAAAGAAGGAGGCTGGCGGTGTCAACTGGCCCCTCGGTCAGCACACCCCCCCACTCCAGCCCTCCCACAGGGGCCGTGTGCTTTGGCTCAAGAGGACTGGTCTTTCTGAAAGGGCTGATCACACCTGCTGGCTGGAGACCTGAGAAGAGAGGCCACAGAGCTGGGGGACAGCTGATTGTATGAAACCTGCCATAGGGTTTCACAAGGCGTCCTGCCGGGGACACCTGGGGAGTCCATGGGGAGAAGGTCACCCCCAAAGTCTAAGCTCTCTGTTAGTCCAGTTGGTGAGGAGTCCAAGCACCGAGACCTGGGGATGCGTTTGTCTTTGGAGATGAGACCATGAAGGACACGGGCCTCTCCTGGTGGGCTTGTCCTTTCAACTCTCTTCATTTCCTGGCCAGATCTGCTTATATCTGTTGGTGAGGAATCATCTTACAGAATCTAGAAACTGACCTCCCTTTCCTCTCAAGGTTACAGCCACAAATTGAGCACAGCACAGTGGGTTTCAGCCAGAGGATCAAAGCCCTCCCACAGCTCTCAGGTCAGCCCTGGCGTGGGTGGCTGGGACGGTCTGGGGAATTCCCTGCTCTGGCTTGTCCTGCAGGCTCTGTGGCCAGGCCTGCCCATGGCCAGATGACTTTTGTGAATCTCCTCTGGATTGAGTGGTCACAATTCTCTAATGCTGGACAAAGATGACCATTCCTAGAAACTTACCCCAAACCTTGAATAGTGATAGCATTGGAGGCGGCCTGACCGACGTCACACGAACCTGAAAGGAATTAGGATAACTTATTTTCAAAAATGTCCAGGATTTGACCTTAATAAGTTAACATGTCTGACATTTGGGAAGTGACATTGTGTCTCCCATGGATCATGTGAAGGGAGTTTCCAACTGGGACTGTCTTTTATTTTTAGAGACAGAGTCTTGCTCTCTCACCCAGGCTTGAGTGCAGTGGCCTAATGACAACTCACTGCATCCTGGGCTCAAGTGATCCTCCTGGCTCAGCCTCCTAATGACAACTCACTGCATCCTGGGCTCAAGTGATCCTCCTGGCTCAGCCTCCTGAGTGGCTGGAACTACAGGTGTGCACCACCATGACCAATTAATTAAAAAATTTTTTTTTGTAGAAATGGGGTCTTGCTCACTATGTTGCCAGGCTGGTCTTGACCTCCTGGGCTAAAGTGATCCTCCCATCCTAGCATCCCAAAGTGCTGGGGTTACAGGTGTGAGCCACTGCACCCAGCCCCACCTGGAATTTCCAATCTTAATGGTACTTGCACATGATCTTGCTTTATTGATAATTTGTTTTACTTTCTGCTTTTTTGTGCGTGGGATTCTTAACTTTTAAAAATTCTACCTTTTTCATAGGCATTCTGGAGACAGAAACCACTAGGCCTGGACATTAGGAGACATGCTGAAGACTGGCCACAGGACGGGTTCTGTGTTTGAAGTTCTGTTTCTGTCCGGTGTGGGAACCCGCGGAGTGCAGAGCACATCACTGCCAGCCCCTGGGTGCCTCCCCACCCCACTGACATCCCGCAAGGAGCCCTCGCCTGTCCCGGATGTGCATAGTGGCCACGGAGGGGAAAGCTAGGGGCTCCCACAACGCTGGCTGCTGTATCCCAGCACAGTCAGTGTTCATTTAGGTCAAGAAGACATTTCAAGGGCTCATTCCCGCCTTAGAAACCACTAAACAAAAATGTGCTACTAAGAACCGTGCCTGGGTAATGAATAAACAAAATGTGATGTAGACATACAATGGAGTATTGTTTAGCCTTAAAAAGGACATTCTGACACATCTGCCACATGGATGAACCTTGAACACTGTATGTATGCTACGTGAAATAAGTCAGACACGAAAAGACAAATGCTGTATGTTTCACTTACATGAAGTCCCCGGAGTCATGGCATTCATAGAGATGGAAAGTAGAGCAGTGGTTGCCAGAGGCTGGGGGAGGGGAGATGGGCAGTTAGTGTTTAAGGGGGACAGAGCTTCATTCTGGGGAGATGAAAAAGTTCTGGAAATGGATGGTGCTGGTTGCACAACAACGTGAATGTACTAACGCTAACGCTGAGCCGTGCACTCAAAAATGGTTAAAATGGTGAATTTTGTTATGCATATTTTACCACAATAAAAAATATTTTAGGCCGGGCGCGGTGGCTCACGCCTGTAATCCTAGCTCTCTGGGAGGCCGAGGCAGGCAGATTGTTTGAGCTCAGGAGTTTGAAACCACCCTGAGCAAGAGCGAGACCCCCGTCTTTACTAAAAATAGAAAGAAATTAATTGGACAACTAAAAATATATATATAAAAAAAAAATTAGCCGGGCATGGTGGCGCATGCCTGTAGTCCCAGCTACTCGGGAGGCTGAGGCAGAAGGATTGCTTGAGCCCAGGAGTTTGAGGTTGCTGTGAGCTAGGCTGACGCCATGGCACTCTAGCCCGGACAACACAGTGAGACTGTCTCAAAAAAAAAAAAATTTTAAAAAAAGAAAGAAAAGAAAAGAAGCATGCCCATGGGCAGGATGTGAGCAGGACCAGGGTAAGTCAGGAGAGACGAGTACCAGGTCGAAGGAAGTACTTGAGGACCCCAGTGAGCTGCGGGTCCTCGTTGACGTTGAGGAGGTGAGGAAAGGTCTTCACCATCTGCCGCTCCTGCAGGAGAGACGGAGAGGTTCCTGTCACCAGACAGGGCCGCCCATGTAAGAGAGCAGTGCTCCTTTCTACCTGCTTCTCAGCACAGCCCCGTCTCTGTGCACCTGGTCACAGTGACCGGGCATCACTGATGGTGGGGTGGGGTCCTCGGGCAGGCCAGCCGTCAGAGGCCTGAGAACCTCTGGCTGCGACTGTTCCAGGGCACTGCCAGTCTCCGGCCCCGTCCTCCTCAGCTGTCTGCTTGCCCCACTCTGCCCCAGACCCCCGTAGCCCCTCCCCAGTTCTCCATGAGAGCTCTCATTCTCACAGTGTCCTGCTGGCCAGCTACTTAAGACAGACATTGGTGGCTTGTGTTGCATTAACCCTCTCCTGGTCACCTTGACGTGTTTCATTCTTTAACGCAAAGATGGGTTGGGATTGTGCTTATAGAGAATGGATGGTCAAACAAAACTGGAATACATTATTGTAGGCATGAGGAAAACTTCTAAATCTTGAAATCCTTTTTTTCTTTTTTGAGACAGAGTCTTGCTCTGTTGCCCAGGTTAGAATTCAGTGGTGTCATCATAGCTCACTGCAACCTCAAACTCCTGGGCTCAAGGGATCCTCCTGCCTCAGCCCCTTGAGTAGCTGGGACTATAAGTGTGTGCCACCACATTCGGCTAATTTTTTTTTTTTTGGTAGAGATGGGATCTCAATCTTGCCCAGGCTAGTCTCAAACTCCTGGCCTCAAGAGATCTTCTGCCTCGGCCTCCCAAAGTGCTGGGATTACAGCTGTGAGCCACTGTGCCTGGCCTTGAAATCCTTTCTAATGAAGAGTAGAGAGGACAAAAGTCCTAAATCCTGTATTCCTGCACTGTGACCCGACTTGAGCCTTGCAGCCGAGAGTCGCAAACCCAGCCCTTTACAGACATGTGACTTTAACAGCACTTCCGGCTGCATCCGGTCATGCCCACACCCTTAGAACCTCCACCCCTAGCGCCACCTGGCCCTCCTGAAGCACCAATCGCACCCGGCTCCACCCCCACGCCCAAGGCTGCACAAGCCTTCCAGGATCCCAAACTCCCAGGAGCTCCAGGTCTGTGCCCCACAGGGATCCGCCCAGGACCTCATGGCTGTGGGGGGTGAGGGGGAGGAGGGGCTGGGGTGTGGTGAGGGGAGGTAGAGAGAGCTCCCTCACCCCCAAATTCACATCACAGCCCATTTGTGACCTGATACTGGCAGTGAGTGCCAGGATAGACACTGTCCCCACAGTCCCCAGGAGATAACTCAGGTCCCTCCAATACTCCCCAAACTCTAATTACCAACAGCCTTGAGTTCCAGCCACAGCCTCCCTCATCAATATGCTCTGAGGCGTCTCTGCCTCCCTTTCACACCCTGCCATTCTCTCCCCCAGCTCTGCCAATAACATTATTGTAAGGCCTTTGTCACATGTCACGTATTACACATTCGCTGAAGAAACCTCATCCCGATCAGGGGCCGGGCAGCAGTGTGCATCAGGGGTGGTGGCCCCAGGTGGAGCGAGCAGAGCTCACCTGGGCCACGGCCACGTGCTGCTGCTCCCACGCTTGCCAGGCCTGCTCCAGCAGGTGTGCCCAGGTCACCTGATTAGCACGAGTCCCGAGCTGCTGTTCTGCCAGGAGACAGGCTGGCTGCTCTGGAAGGAGGGAGGATCTTAAGCAACAGGTCTGCGGCCTCAGAGGTCAGGCACAGAGTAACCGCAACGAGTCTCGTCTTGGCTCGCAGTCAAAACGTGGGACTCCCAGCGGGAGCGGGATGTCGAACCGCACTCAAGTGTGAAGAAGAAATCGCGTGGTAAGTCGTACAAAGAGTAGCATCACCTGCTAATTCATAAGTCGTTATAGCACGAGAAGCTCCATTAAAGGGGGAGGCATGAAGCTGAGCATTGTGTTTTTTTAATTGTTTTAAGGTGTGTGAGAGTGTTTCAATTTATACCATCATTACAAGCCATTGCCATAAGGCCAGGGGGTTTGGGAAGAACCGTGGATTTCTCTAAGGTTTTCCCATTGTCTGTGTCTGTGCTTATGAGCAGTGGAAATTAGATGCTACATGTAAGTCGTCCGGCACTCGGCAGTTTGTGGTGTGAGAGATTTGTGTCAACCGGAGCAGCATCCGGGCCAGTCGTGGGCGCTGACTCTAGAAAGTGCTTTGTTGAGGTTGAAGCGTCAGCAGGTCAGGCCGTCCTGCCCTCTGTCTGAGCCCACCATCCTTCCAGGTGGGCCGGGGTGCAGGAGGTGCTGCCACTGCCCCAGAGCCCCCTAGAGCAAGGGCCCCCAACCTATGGTGAGTTGTCTAATTATTTCATTATATGTTACAATGTAATAATAATAGAATTAAGTGCACAATAAATGTAATGTGCTTGAATCATCCTGAAACCATCCCCCCTTGCCCCCACCCCCAGTCCGTAGAAAAATTGTCTTCCGTGCAAATGGTCCCTGGTGCCAAAAAGGTCAGGGACCGCTGCCCTAGAGTGAGGGCGCCGCCGGGGCAGGGGGATGGGTGCCAAGGGCGGACGGCAACTGATGCTGGGCCTTTCGATGTTGCTGTCTTGATGCTGAACACTCTTACTGATTTTACTGCAACAGTTTTATATTTTCCCTTTTCCATCCGTCCCATTTTAAATCATTAGTGGAAATAAAATGGGATATATCTTTATGCTGCCAAACTGAAACCCGAGGCCTTAACTTAAAGCCGTGGCTCGTGATCGCTGCACATTAGAGTCACCTGGGCCACTTCAATGGCTGAGGCCCGAGGCAATTTATTGGGTCCGAGTGGAGCCCAGTCGCCAGGTGACTCCAATGCACCGCGGTGGAGTCGGGCTGACGCTCCCAGCGCCACTTAGCTGCATGACAACCTCAGCAGGGTAAACATCAAATGGCATTGTCCAAATCCAGCAGGAAAAATTAATCCTGGTAGAGACGATGTCCTCAAAATGGAAACGGCAATAAAACACGAGACTAAAATGACCATTTTAAAAGGACAGGCCAATATTTCTTAACTGCAAGTGAGTCTACATTTATCTCAAAGTTGTTTTTTTTTTTTTGAAAGAATAGAGCCAGAGCCAAATATCCTGGACAAAGCCCCAGCCACGCACCCCCAAACCCCCACCCCCACCTGCCCTGGGCTCCCATCACTGACCCGGCCTCTCCCCTGGCCCAGCCTGGGCTTTGGCCAGATCAGACCCTTTTCCCTGCCCCAGGCTTGGACTCAGCACTGACTCCTGACTCGGTTTACCTGCCATTCCAGAGGTTCTGCTTCTGAGCGGCAGCTTGTTCTCTGCCCTCCACTGTCTCATCAGTGTCCAGGTGTTGACCACTGCTCTGTTCCGGATCTTTTTAGCCCTTTCATGTGCAAAGATGGACACACCATCAGGCCTGGGTCCTTTGCAGCTGGAGCAGCAGCAACAGGGCACGCTCAGATCTCTAACGGCCCAGGGGGAGCCTTTCACTGCCCCATGGGTGACTCGAATCCACCATGCCCAGTTCCAATAAACCATTAAGACCAAGGTGACTTCAGTAATCTGCACAGTTCAAATAAATTTGTGCCGCTCGGCCAGGGCCAGGACTCGGCCCCTGATGTGCCCTGGGGCCTGTTGACCCTCAGCCAGTTGGGCTGACTTGGTTCATTCAAGCATCTGTTCAGCCGGTCGCTGCCGCTGCAATAACTCAAATCCTGGCGCTGGCAGCGACTGCTCCGCCCTGTGCCCCAGGCTGGAAGGGTCTTAGAGATTGTCTAGGTCACTCCCAGGGTCACCAGAGAAAACATGGAAGCCTCCCAATATTGCACAGGACATACTTACCCTAAAACATTACTTGTTCTTTATCTGAAATTCAGTTTAACTGAGCATCTTGTCTTTTTATTCGCTAAATCTGGTTACCTTACTCCTTTCACTTTACATAGGGGACATTGACTCAGAGTCTACAAGCCTGGCCCATGGTATCATTTTTTCTCTTTCCTACACATCACACAGTTTTCTCTCGTGGAAAAACTGCTAGCAATAGATTTGCATCTGGCAAGCAGGGAGAAAACAAACATTCTAGATACTGCTCAAGGTAAAATACAACCTAAAGATCCGAGCTTGTGTCACAGATGCTGGAAAAAATGTCTAATGGTTTGCAATGATCCTGAAGCTGTGCAGGCAGGAATGAGAAGGGAAGTATCTGGACCCGGCATGCAAGGGCTCCCTCGCCGAGGACCCGGCCCGGGGAGAGAGTGGAAGGGGAGGCAGCTGCATCATAGCCATGGTTTTCAGGCACCAGTGTCTGCCAGGCAGAGCTCTGCCAAGGCTGTGAATGAGGACCCCCGTTCAGTGAATGAGGCGACAGTGTTAGAGGTGCAGTGTCTTGCCCAGGGTCACGCAGCTTCTAGGGCCAGAGCTGTCTGACTGGCAAGTCCAGAGATCTGACAAGTGGCACATCAGGGCTGGCAGATAAGTTTCATTTCACACGCCAACTCCAGCTCCCAGAACGCAGGGCTGAGAATCCGAGCTCCCATGTGGACCCAATGGGACAGTGGCGGAGATTCTGTCTGGGAAGTGGGAGTGGAGGCAGCAGCATGTGGGAAAATTCAACCCGGGGCCAGAGACTGCCCACCCCCCTACGCCCCCCCTTTCTTAAAAGGCCGGGAGCAGCAGGCCGGGAATGCTCTGCAGGGACCTGCCTTGAGAAGCAGGAATATGGCTCAGCAGCAGCCCCCTGCCCATGTGACTACAGGTGGGCTTATTTCCCAGCCCGGTGGACAGGAAGGAAACTGGCAGTGACAGCCCCGCCCTGGTGAAGAGATACCGATGACATTCAGGCCGCTCCAGGGTCTGTTGTGTAGTCTGTTGGACAGGCCTCGGGGAAACTAGACGAGCCACGGAACGGAAAGCCAGTGTGCCAGGACTTGCAGAGCTGGTGAGTGGTTCTGAACCGAGGAGTGGTCTCTTATGTAGCTCACCTTCATTTACTATTAGCACAAAAACCTTCCACCTGGCACTACTCTGTACCTATGTCCCATGTGACAAAAGGAGAAACCTGTGAATAGCCATGCTTTTTGACAGGAAAATACAGGGACATGGATAACTGGCAAGATTGGCATCAACACCTCTCCCGTCCATTTGAGCCACGGCCCCGCTCCCCTGCAGGGTCTGAGTGATAGAGTGACACTCGACACTCTGAGGCCCCAGTTCTCTCTCCCTTTCTTTATACGCTTTCGTTCCCCTCTCCCAGACCCCTTCCAAAATGCCAGACCCTCAGGGGTAAGAGTACTAGAGGAGGTGGCTAGACCTAGAACTTAGAACCACTATGGATAATAAATTTTCATAAACGTACCTTTCAGCGTATCTTAATGTTGATAAAGTTTCCTCGTAGCAGATGTCAGCTGGACTTATGGCAGCTATCTGTAAAAACATCCCTTTCAGATTTTGTTAATTATATGGGGGTTTATGGTTGTAATTAAAACAGCTAATGTTCATAGAGCAGTCTCACATCTTGTGATTCACGGTAGTGTTCAAACTTTACAACTTAGAAAACTAGGCTTAGAGAAAGGTAATATGCCCAAGTTTACCCAGACGATAACTTACAGAATTGGTGCTTGAGCCAGCCCTGCCTAACCCTAATACCTGTACTGCCAACCTCAGTATGACCCACCCTCGGGATTGAGTCCTCAGCGGATTTTCCCAGGGTCTGGAACGACAGCGGAGTGTTAGCATCGCAGAGACCAGTACGACCTGCTCGTTCCCAGGCAGCCACTGGTATGGCTTCAAGCCTGGCTACTGGCTTTGGACCAATTGTTCCAGAACCCAGAAGACAAACTTTTCAAATCAGAAACAGACTTTTGGATGACTTGGAGGTGGGCAGGGTCCCTGAGGGTGACCAGGGAGGTGACGTGGCAGCTGCCCACACAAAACCTATGGACCAGGAGGCTCAGGACCCGGGGCATTGATAGCTCAGGGAGTAATTATGTATAGTTTAGATTTCCAGCTTTTAAAGCTTGTTCATTTATATTGTCTCATTTAATCATCACAGAAATATTTTCAAGTGGATATTATCTTTACTTTGAAATGAAGAAAATGCAGTTTTAAGGTATCTGTGCTGAAGGTGGGATTGGCCCATAGAGACTGTAGCGCGTGTCTGTTGGCCTGGCGGAGTCTCTGTTCCGTTTGTTTCCTGAGGTGGTCAGTAACCCCCTTCCTCCTGCCCTCCACATCCGTTTTTGTTAACACGCTGTGCTGCCTTCAGTCAGCCCTTGTCTAGTCGGACAGCTCTGGGTGTCACCCTGTGGTCTCAGGTGACTGCACGCATCTGCTAAGACCCGTTAGATTTCACTGTGCAGTCTGACGTCCAGAGGGGATCTTTTGCCTCCTTTTATTCCAGGTTCTTGGGGACGTTCCGTTGAGGACCACAGGTAACTGACAACCCGAAAAACTTTGAAATGAAGTATTTAAAAATGGGCAAGATTAAATGACTGAGAGCAAGGATGTGTTTTACTGTGAATTTTGGAGAGAGGTGCACATGCGACAAGGCCCTGCAGGGAGCATTTCCCTCCTAACCAGGACAGCAGAGTGGAGGCCAGGGCGGGCCTGGGGGCAGAGTTCGCCCAGTTTTGTCCCTCCCTGTGCGCAGTTAAAGCTGAAGCACAGAGAGTCCTGATCTTAACCCAGTGCGTGCTACAGCCACTTGGCAAACGTTTAAAATAAGAGTCCAAGGTCTTTGCCGAGAGGACATGATTCAGCTGCTCTCCAGGTTGAGCGTCTGCCTGCACCTGGCACAGTCAACGCTGATTTCCTGCCTCGCCGTGGTGTGACCGCTGATTTACAATAACGTGGCATTGTTTTATTTTTAAAATGGTACTAGTTTTTTTCTGATAATGAAAGTAATATATGTTCCTTGTAGAGAATCTGAAAACTACAGAAAAGAATAAATAAAGAATTAGAAATACAGAAACATTATTTGAAGATTGTAACAGGAAGAGCGCCAGGAATCGGGAGATAGTATGTAAGAACGTGCTGTGTCCAAGCAGCACGCTACATGACGGGCGCATTGAGAATAATTTTAATCACAATACTAACAGCTAGGTCAGTGCGAAATGGTGTAAGAAAGTCGTTTTACCAAAGCAGTCCTGCTGTTCCCACCCAGAGCCGACTGGAGCAGTTTGGTCAGGACGGAATCTCTGTAGGGAACGTGCAGGACTCTCTTCCCCATGGCTGCATCGGCCAGAGCGCTGGATGAAAAAGAAAATACGAAACAACAAATTAAAAGAATGTGTCAAGAAGAAATCTTACCATTACACAGAGGATGAGGGAAGCAAAAATAGAAAAACTAATACCAAAAAATACAAAAAATTAAAAAAAGAAGAAATCTGCCCCCTGGCGACAAGTGGGAAACAGCTCTCGAGTCCCTGTCCGCGCCCACAAACCTGATGCTGCCACCCACCGGCAGAGACACCTGTACGAAGACTGAAGCAAGACGGCTGACCCCGGGCGCTGAGGCCCCGTCAGAGTCAACCCCGAGAGAGCGTTACAGAGACGGGAAGCCTGAGGAGACCGCGGCTGGTAAGTCTGTGCGGAGAAGGGGCTGCGATCCGAGGAAGAGGAGGCAGGCGGAGCCGTGCGGAGACAGGCTTGGGGGATGGTTGTGCGTTCTCTCCCTTCCTTCCTCTCGTGTCTGAAGGTCCCTCATGACGCAGCCTCGGGGCAAGAGTGAGCGAGAGGCCCCCGCCTGCTCCAGGGGACCACAGAGACAGCAGCGCTGGCGAAGGCAGCGGGAAAGCAGGGAGGAAGCCTCGTCTGACAGAAATTACAGTCACAAGCAGAGGAAAGGGATCCATAACGTTCTTCTGGCAGATTTGGAAAAGAAACAATGATCTTATAGAAGAGAAGAAATACGATAATTGAAATTAGAAACACCATGTTTAGGTTTAACAGCAAATTAGACAGTGGAATTAGTGCATTAGATCGTTCAAAAGGAATTATCCAGATTGCAGTCCAGAAACGAGAGGAAGGTTAAGAGACACAGAGAACAGAGTTAGAAGGTCCAAGTAGTCTAATCCAAGTCCTAGAAAAGAAGAGGGAAAAAAAATGGGCAGAGGTGATATATGAGAAATAATGGCTAAGAATTTTCCAGAACTGATGAAAATCACTAATCCACAGAGCTATGAAGGCCAAAGAATTCCAAGGAGGATAAATAGAAGTTTACGCTCAAATACAACGTAGTGAAATTGGACAACACCAAAAACAAAGAGAAAGGCTTAAAGCAGTTAGGGAAAAAGATTATCGTCAAGAAAACAGAAACTGAGTTTGCCTTCAGCAGGTCATCACTGAAGGAAATTCCAGAAAATATACTTCAACCAGAAGGAGACTGATTATGGATAGCAGCTCTGAGGTACACAAAGGAACAAATTTTAAAAAGATAAATGTGAATGAATACTGTGTAAAATAGGAAGAATAATGTCTTCTGGGGTTAAAGAAGAATAGAATTGAAATACCTAACAATTACATGTGTAGAATGGAAATCTTATTCAGGAGGAGGATAAAGTATTTATTATATTTAGACTTTGACCACAGATTAAAAACTAAGAAACAGTTAAGCATATATTGAATTTTGATATATTACGGGTGGCGTAGAAGATCACTGGTAAAGGGGGACTATTCAACAAACGGAAGTGGGAAACTTGGAAATCTATAAGGAAAAGAATGAGAAGAATGCCTACCTTACACCACACACAGAAATCAACTCCAAATGGGTAGGAACTTACATGTAATACAGGCAGATATCTTTCTGACTCTAATTTTGTTAGGACACAAGAAATGCAAAACAAACCACAACCATAAGTTCTGCTCAATAGGCCCCTTAAAGAAAGCGAAAAGACAAGCTACTGACTGGGAGAAGATATTTATACTATATGTGGTTAAGAAAAGAGTAATAAAAAAATATGTCCAGAATGCCTACGAATCCATAAATACAATGACTGAGTAGAACAATGGGAAAAACATAAGAATAGGAATTTCAAGAGGAAACGTATTGCTAATAAATATATGAAGAGATGTTTAAACTTGTTCATAACCAGAAATATCAAGATCATAGTAAAAGTCATTTATTTACACCAATTTAATTGATAAATATCACAAAATCTAAAAATACTAAGTCTTAGAAAAGATATGGATCAATGTGATAACTTATAACATTGCTGGGAATATAAACTGGTCCAACCACTCTGGAAAACAATTTGTCATCATCTTGCAAAATTAGGTACTCACACACCTTATAACTCACAGTTTCAATTCTTTGTCTATACTCAAAAGAAACTTAAATATAGTTATGTGCAATAATGACATCTCAGTTGATGGACTGTGTACACAACCGTATTTCTACTGTACTCATGCTACGTTTGGATATGTTTAGATACACAATTACCGTTGTGTTACAGTTGCCTGCAGTATTCAGTATGGCAACATGCTGTACAGGTTTGTACCCATATAGCCTAGGTGTATAGTAGGCTATACCATCTAGGTTTATGTAAGTCACTCTATGATGTTTGCACAATGATGCAATCACCTAACTTACATAGATATATACATATACAAAAATTCATTGAGCTGAACATTTATGATTTGTGTACTTTACTATAATTTATACTTTAATAAGAAAGTTTTTAAAAAGTAAGTCCCAGAAGACAATATAGCACTTTACCCTTTTTATAAAGTCCCAAAATGAGTGCTACTAAATAATTTTCACATGCGATAAAACAAGAAAGGAGGAAAGAGGAGGGGCATAGAAAGAACGTAAGGTGGTTACCTCCCAGGGGAGGACAGGTGAGGAATACCCACTAGTTCTTGGGTTGGGTGGTGGTTTTATTAGTGTTATTTAAAAAGTTAATTAGTTTAAAATACATAGTAGGGCCAGGCATGAGCCAAGGATGGCAGTGGATCATAAACTAAAGATTATAATTAATCCAATTTTTTATACTGAGGCCATTTTTATGGCACAAATACCTGCCTGCTGATTATTTACCTGATAACATTTCCCAAACTGGTTAAACTTAAGTTAACTCGTGATCCTTCTCTCAATCTGTCTCCTTCGGATCCTGAAGATTTCTGCCTTTCACTTCCTGCTAGATCCACCAAATTAATACTGGATTGTTTGGTGAGGTCTCTGTCTGGGAAAACCTGCAGAAAAGCACCACAGGTCACCCTGCGTGATTAGGGAGGCGGCAGGCTGCACATGAAGTCACTCTAGTTTGCACGTTTAAATGGTTCTTCTAATTATATTTCAGACTCAAAAAAGACAATAAAATGTACAGTGTAAAATACCATCCTCTTTACAGTGACATTTTACAACAACACATGACCAGACCCATCAAGTTTCCCCTTCCCGATTCTGCAAAGCTCTTCTCCAGTGAAATATGAAATATCAGTTATTGCTCCTGTATTTCTATGGCCAATAAGCTTTTTAAATATAAAATACTGTGAAATCTGCAAAATAAGTAACTGTTCAGGATTGTGTAGTCCTGTAGTGGAAAAAACATGAGTTTTAGAATCTTATGGATTCCCCTGCTGGCTACATGACTACAAGCAAATGACTCGACTTTTCAGAGTTTCAGCTTTCTCAGTTGTAAATGGTGATAGGAACACATTGTTGAGACGGGATGAAGGTTAAAAGATGTAATGATTATAACACATGCCTGGCACACAGTATCAGGAGTTAACATTACTGCCGACCCCAGTAAACAGGGTTTGGTACTAAATCTCTTCACTCAGCTGATTTCCTCTCTGCCCCTAAAATATTAAAAAAATAGAAGGGCAGGCCGGGCGCGGTGGCTCACGCCTGTAATCCTAGCTCTCTGGGAGGCCGAGGTGGGCGGATTGTTTGAGCTCAGGAGTTCGAGACCAGCCTGAGCAAGAGCGAGACCCCATCTCTACTGAAATTAGAAAGAAATTAATTGGACAACGAAAAATATATAGAAAAAATTAGCCGGGCATGGTGGCGCATGCCTGTAGTCCCAGCTACTCGGGAGGCTGAGGCAGAAGGATCGCTTGAGCCCAGGAGTGTGAGGTTGCTGTGAGCTAGGCTGACGCCACGGCACTCTAGCCCGGGCAACACAGTGAGACTCTGTCTCAAAAAAAAAAAAAAATAGAAGGGCAAATCATGTATAACGTTTCCGAATTTTACTAACAATGTAAAGCCAAGTGAATTGCACTTAAGAGTTTACAAATTTCTTTAAAATGCAGCGTCTTAAAAAAATAAAATGAAATGCAGTGTCCTATTCAAGTCTCCTTTTACAGACAAGGAAGCTCAGACTCAGGGAGATAAAGTTATTTCCCAAAGTTTTAGTGCTGGCGAACAAGGCATCAGACTTAAAGCCAGTCCAATGTTTTCCCACTATTCTTGGTTATAGTGGGATAATTTTTATTGATTACTATTCTATTACTAGTTCTATGACTTAGGGGACAGAGGCAGTAAGATCACAGCTAATTATAACATTCACCCAGGATTTGTAAGCAGCATTTCTAGATCACATTGGTGATATTGTATAGATGACTCTCTGGTATTCACCAAGGAGCACGGAAGAAAAAGTATGCTCTAGTTTATCAAAGACTCTAGTTAGTAGAATGTTATGTGGATTACCTGGTTGCAAAGAATTTATCTTGGTACTTCCAAGTATTGAAAAGGTACTTCAGTATCTGGTGGTCTCCTGGGCTCACGGATCTGAAAGGTGGTCACCATCTTAGTGATACACAGACCCGCTACTGATCTAATTCTCCATGAGAAACCATGGAGTCACTCTCAGATCTTCACAATTTGCTCCTTGATCAACGTGAGGTCACAGTCCACTCCTCAGAGCATGGAGTTTACTTGAAGGCAAATAGCCTTTAGTCCTGTGGGCACTTTGGGGACATGGTAGCCCATACTGCCACTCTACCATTAGCAATGGGCTCATTCGCCAGGTGGGGCATGGACATTGAGGTGGGAAGGGGGACAGGAAAAGTGCAGGTACTTCACTTTTTCCTGCTTCTGACCCTATAATCTATGCTTGGAAGAGCCACCTGAATCCATAGGTCTAATCTGCAAGGATTCCATAATCCCCACCAGCCTGTTATGCCATTATGCGGAAAGAACCTTCCACAGACCAGTCTGTTGGGAGATCCGGACAGTGGCATTCACCTGAATCTCACCTGCTTGAACTGGATGGTGATGACCATGTGGGACCGGCTGCTGCTGGCATTCATGTTGGTGGAAGCTGTGGTCCTTATTTTTGTTCCTTGTTCCATCAGCCTTTCAATTTGTGTGTAGTTCTCGCAAGGCACTGATGTCAAACCTTCCACATAAAAGCCCACCTGCTGATCTTCCCTTATTTTGAGCCCACCAGGTTTTTTGGTTCTAGACAGCAAATCTCTTATCTGTGGAAAAAAGAAGAAATAATGTAAACTTCAGGGAGGGAATTTTGTTTACCTCATTGCTGTTATCTCTGCCTACAATATATCAGGTGTTCAATAACTATTGGATGAATGAATAAATAGTACATTTCTGTAAGGACTTCATAATTTAGCTAAGTAGAAATAGGGAAATGGCAAGAACAGAGAGAATCCTGTTGTAATTATTGAAGTCAGGTGCATATTTAAAATTTTTTAAAATTTATTTTTAGAAACGCAGTTTTATTGTTTTCCGGTATGTAGCTAGAGCTCTTCAACGAGACCGAATTCCCCATGGGTGGGGTCCTGTCTTTTTGCCGTCGATCCTAACACACACAGCGTCCGATGAATGCTTGTTGATTGTGCGTTGTGACTGGCTAGGCTAACAAATAATGTTTAAGACACTGCATGCTGGAGCCTGGGGAAACTGCTTTTGTGGCATGATAAAGTATTTGAATAGCATCCACAGTTTCTGCCTATAAACAGGTGCTTCTAAAGCTTTTGTGCTTGAACACATTGTTCTCTTATTAACAAAAATTCTCCTAGCAATCTTGTTAATTCTTATTTCATCAACAACTCTTTTGTGGATAATATGAAAATAAACCATCCTAGCTTCTTTCTGAATTATCACAAATTGTGTATTGCAAAGTGACGAAGTGGCCGAAACGTAGAGTGTGGAGATAGACGTAAGACGAAGCTGGAGAGGTAGGTAGGCTGATGGTCAAGGCCAGGGCAAAGCAGAGGAGGTGACTGGGAGTCCCTGATGTTTATTAAGCTGCAGAGTCACTCAAATTTGTGTGTCAGAAAATATAATCTCTATTACCTGTTCATTGTAAATTTCCAGCATACTGAAGGTAACCTGTATAGAGAAAAGCACAAAGTGAATATTTTCTTGAAACAGTCACCTTTGAGAAAACAGTGATATGGAAACAACATAAATGTCAATAAAGGGAAAAGCTAGTATTAAATATAGTAAAGGTCTATTTTAACATGCAATTTGAGGTTCTCAAATAATTTTAATGATGTGCGGGAAGTTTTTAATATAAATTAGATACAAAAAGTGTGTGTGTGTGTGTGTGTGTGTGTGTGTGTGTGTGTGTCTTTTAGTCTCAATTGGGAACAGAAAAAGGTGATTCTTTAATGCTCACACCCCAATCTGAACATATGTAGAAGAAAAGAATGGTCTTTACTGTGCTTTTCGAATATTGCTATCCAAACTGACACCTCTTAAGCAGGATTTGGGAGATCTGAATGGCTTTATTCTACAGAAAAGGCTTTAAGATACTGACATTTTGCCACTCTCCACCCATAAAAAAGCTGGCTTTTCTGTGATGAGTCTTGCCAGTTGAGCCTTGTGGCCATAGAGCTTCCCGCTAGTTTCAGAGTGTCTCGTGTTTAAAAATGAACAAATGGACAAGGATTAGCAGATAAGGAAGGCCTGCAATATAAATGAGAGACCAAAACAAACAAGTAGAAAAAAGGAACTTAATTCAGAGAAAACTGACCATGAAGAGAGTAAAAGAAAGCATTTTTAAAAGCCCTATAATTAATAGCCCCAGAAAGATAAATAATTATATCTATGAAAAAACAGGATGCTATTAAAAAGGAACAAAGAGTAAGAAGAAGTTTTTGTAAATTAAATTTATCAATGAAAGCCAAAATAAAAATGTAGAAGAGTTATAAAATACAGTTGAGGGAATCCTCTAAAATGCAGAATAAAAAGAACAAGAAATGGAAAATAGGTGATAAAAGATAATAAAATTAACACATGTTTGTACAGAGGTTCAAAATCCAATTAGTAGAAGTTCTAGAAAGAGAAAGCAGAAGAAACAGAGGGGAGAAACTTATAAAAGAAATAATAAAGGTTTCCCAGAATGGAGAAAAGACTCATATTAAGACACGTCAGAACATCAGGGATAAGAGAAGGTCCTCAAAGCTGCGAGTGGGAAACCAGCCATCCAAAAAGATCACGTACAAAGAACTGGGAAGCAGAATGGCAGCTGACTTCTCAGCTGCAACATTGGAACTTAAAAGATAATGGAATAATGTCTTCAATATTCTCAGAGATCTAGGATTTTATTCTGGGTAAACATCAATTGCGTGTGGAGATAAGAAAAGATATTTTCAGCTGTGCAAAGGATGCAAGAAATGCACGCTTGATGCACCTTTTCTGATCAAGTTGCAGCACAAGGAGAGAGTAAAACAAGAAAGAGGATGTAGGAGCCAGGGGAGCCCACCAAGAAGGTTGCAGTAAAGTTCCAGAATGACGGTTTTGTGGTAGACCTGGAGAAACACAGCTCCAACTGTAGTAGGAGAATAGAAGACACCTGTTGAAGGAGACCCCAAAAATAATAGAACCAAAAGGCTTGAGTATCTGAAAAATAAAGTCAGTAGGCATGTGACAGTGATTTGGAGCATTTAGAAAGATTCATAGAAAAGTAAACACAATTTTAAAAGACAATTAAAAATTCCAAGAAAAGGTATAGAAAGGATATATGAATGAATAGTTGGTTCAGCAGTGAACTATATATTTGTACAACTGAAATGCTAATAACTATTGATTCAACCAAGTTTTATAATATGCATTATCCCAAATGCAGGGGGTATGTAAGAGAAAAAGTATTGTGGTTGGGGGTGTCAGTGTGGCAGAGTGAAATCCTCTTCTACCATGGTGGAGAGATAGCAGATAATGCCCGAAATTGCTTTTTAAGAAGAGAAAAACCAACATCATTTTAAAATATGGAGACAGATACCAGGGAAAACAGCTAACTAGTTGAGGATGGTAACCGTGGGGAGTCACAGGGAGGGGAAAGAGGATGGCCAGGAGACTGGCAGTTTCCATTATAAGCCTTTCTGTACTATTTGAAGTTTTTTTTTTTTTTCAGCAGCTTTATTGAGATGTAATTCACATACAGTATAGTTCAGCCATTTAAAGTGTACCATCCAATGGTTTTGAGTATATTCACAGAGCTGTGCAGCCATCCCCATACATCCCCTACATCCTAAATCTAGAACATTCCATCCCCCCTCCAAAAGAAACAAATTGGCAGTTACTCCCTCTTCTCTGCCTTCTCCCCTGTCCCAGAGGCCCACAGACTCGAAGCAACCACTAATCTGCTTTCTGCCTCTATAGATTTGCCTATCCTGGAAATTTCATATAAATGGAATCATACAACATGTGTGTGTGTGGTGGGGAGGTTCTTTCTTTTTTAGTCTTCTTTAGAGATGGGGTCTGGCTCTGTCACCTAGGCTAGAGTACAGTGGTGCAATCACAGCTCACTGTAACCTGCAATTCCTGGGCTCAAGCAATCCTCCTGCCTTAGCCTCCCGAGTAGCAGGAAATACAGGTGTGTGCCACCATGCCTGGCTAATTTTTCTATTTTTCGTAGAGACGGAGTCTTGCTATGTTGCTCAGGCTGGTCTCGAACTCCTGGCCTCAAGCGATCCCCCACTGCCTTGGCCTCCCAAAGTGTTGGGATTATAGGCATAAGGTACTGCACCTGGCCTTTTTCCTTTCCTTTTTCTTTTTCTTTCTTTCTTTCTTTCTTTTTTTTTTTGTGTGTGTGAGGCATCCTCCTGAGTAGCTGGATTACAGGCATGGGCCACCCCGCCCACCTCTAGCTTCTTTCACTTGGCATAATGTGTTCAAGGCTTATCTATGTTGTAGCATGTGTTAGAATTTCATTCCTTTTTAAGGCTGAGTAATAGTCCATTGTAGGGATATAACATATTTATTCATCAGTTCGTGAATATTGGGTTGTTTCCACTTTTTGGCTATTGTGAACAGGCTACTGTGGAATATTCGTGTACAAGTTTTTGTGCGGACATATGCTTTCCTTTCTCTTGAGTATCTGAGTTTTCAATCCATGCGCGTGTCTGGGTATGGTGGCTCATACCTGTAGTCCCAGCTTTGGGAGGCTGAGGAGGGAAAATCGCTTGAGCCCAAGAGTTCGAGGCTGCAGTGGGTTGTGATCACGCTCAGGGCTCTCCAGCCCGGGCGGCAGAGTGAGACCCTGTCTCTAAAAAACAAAAATGAATTTAAAAAACTGTACTTGTATTCCTTTGAAAATATTTTAGTTAAAAAATTAGAAATACTTTAATTGAAATTAGAATGTTAATGGTATTTTAGGTGATGAGACTGAGTAAATTCTATTCTCTAGGTTGAACACATTACCTTTAAAATCTGAAAAATAATTAAGATAAAAAATAATGCACTGTTGCATTTTCATAACTCCAGTTTAAACTATTCTGCCACTTGAGAAAGCAGAAACTTAGACTATGCTTTCAGGTATTTTTTGACATTTTGCTGTCGTATTTTAAAGCTAATTATGTTGTTATATTCCATCTTGAAAATGTCACCAACCTTCAGCAAATTTATAATTGTTTTGGGTCTTCTATGCTAGGGCAAGTAAAAAGCTATGCCCTATATAAGAAAAAAAGTAAGAAACAAAGTAACATTCTTTATTTAGAAATAAAAACAAATTAAGATGAGAACATACCCACAACCTTGGTAGAAGAGGGCAGCAGAGAAAACCATAGGCTTGAGTCAGCTAAAATTTTGTTTTATAAACCTCACTAATGATCTCTCATTAGAGCTGGCAATTCAATTGTCTGCTTCCATGATATCTGCAGTGCTTTTTAAAAATATTTCCTTGGATTTGTCTCCATAGAACCAGAAAAATTCAACATCTTATTTTTTATTTTTTTATTTTTTGAGACAGAGTCTCACTCTGTTGCCCAGGCTAGAGTGCCGTGGCGTGGTCTTAGCTCACAGCAACCTCAAACTCCTGGGCTCAAGCGATCCTCCTGCTTCAGCCTCCCAAGTAGCTGGGACTACAGGCATGCGCCACCATGCCCGGCTAGTTTTTTCTATATATTTTTAGTTGTCCAATTAATTTCTTTCTATTTTTAGTAGAGACGGGGTCTCGCTCTTGCTCAGGCTGGTTTCGAACTCCTGAGCTCAAACAATCCGCCTGTCTCGTCCTCCCAGAGAGCTAGGATTACAGGCGTGAGCCACCGCGCCCGGCCTCAACATCTTATTTAGCTGCAACATGACCTTGTAATCGTATAAACATGTTGGTATGAAACACTAACATTATTCTAAAATAGAGATGCTGATAACTTCCATTTGGAGAAGGGGTCCAAAATGAAACAGTACAGTTCCATTCTAGAGCACATACCTGGTATTCTTGATTTCTCTCCTGCTTCTCGATTGCTTGAAAGAGCTCTTCACACACATTTGGAATAATACCCTTGTTGGCACCAAACCCAATCATGGAATAGCTTTTCCCAGAGCCAGTTTGGCCATAGGCCAGGAGAGTAGCATTATAACCTTGCCAAGCGCTGTCCAGAATCCCCCTGCCAAGGTCATGGAAAACATCTCTCTGGAAAGAAGATCCACATGTTTGGCATGTTTGGCACAGGCCAGTGGCACGTACAGTTACGCTTCCTTCCTTTTCTCAGAGCTCTTAAAATCTACTATTCTGGTTTTGATAAGTTCCACCTTCCTATCACATGACCTACTTACACAACTCAGATGCTGGCTTAGAAACAGTGGGGTAAAACTGGAAACCAAAAAAGGATTTGTCAATATGGAAAATACTGATCGTTTACATTCATGGATTCTATCACCAGATATATTTTGAACTAGCTAGTATCCATCAATAATGAATTTGTGTATTTTACAGCCCTGCCAGAAACATCGGCTAGGTCTTTAAAATTAAGCAACTAGGCAAAAAACTATTGACACCAAGGTACAGAGACCAAAGCGTTTTCTACTTCTTTATTCCTTAACCCAAATAATAGCATCACGAAATCCCCACACCAAGTTTTGCCCTCTGCTGGTGAGCTCTCTTCTTTTTTCCACAGGCCTGGTGGTTCTGAAGCATGTCTTCAAGACACACATACACTCATATATGTATATGTGCACCTGTCTTTTTCTTTTCTTTTTTTTTTTTTTTTTTAGGGTGGAAGAGAGAGATGCTTATGCCCACAGTTGCTTGAAAGGGAGGGCGTGTGACCTGGCTCTTTTTATTATCAGGGCCATGGCCAAGGCCAGCAATAGCTTTTTTATTTTGTTGTTGTTTGGAGATAGGGTCTCAGTCTGTTGTCTGGGCTGGAGTGCAGTGGTGTGATCATAACTCGCTGTAACCTCAGACTCCTGGGCTTAAGCGATCCTCCTGCCTCAGCTTCCCGAGTAGTTGGGACTACAGGCATGCGTCACCACACCTGGCTAATTTTACTATTTTTTGTAGAGATGGGGTCTGGCCATGTTGCTCAGGCTGGTCTTGAACCTCAAGCAATCCTCCCGCCTCAGCCTCCCAAAGTGCTGGGATTATGGGTGTGAGCCACCGCACCCGGCCTACTTCTCTTATTTGAGACTATTTCCAAGGGTATGTTCCTTCCTAGTCTCTAAGAGCAATAATAAAACAGTAAGTAAACATTACATGCTCTATTTGTTAGCAATATATACATTTGTACAATTTTTATTTCTGGGAAGGCTGCACATACCGACTTCATGTGATTTACATAGGCATAACATGTGGCATATGACCAATGGCTTCCCAGAACACTGTGCCTGTGCTTTCACCAGAAAGATGTACTATACGATGGACGTCTACTCCACCTGGGAGCTATCAGCTGAGCCTGGGGAGTGCTCATCAACTTAGTAAAGCAACTAGTTTTGCTGTCTTGTCGTCTTAGCGCTATTGGAGATTTGGGAAAATGGGGTTTTTTTTGTCTTTAATTTTTCTGGATTGAAAACTTCAAACAGGTAATACGAATTTTATTAAATAAATGAAATCATAGGTAGATAATAGAATCATTTGATAAATTTTGTTAGCTGTACAGTTTTTCTCTATAGTTTTCCATTGAAATATCTTTTGGGTATCAGTTATTTGGATATTAGATAAGCCAGGAAATCATAGAACTATTTTTCTAATTTCTTCCTTCCCACAATCCTAAAATCAAATATAGGAAATATTATCTTATGCTGTCCCACATGAAACGGTAATATGCAGTGTCTTAATGGGTGGTCAACAAAAACTCATTCTGGGATGGGAGGAAAAATTGTTGACAAAGAGGAGTCTTCATAGCGTTTCTTGCAGTCTTTTGAAACTATCTTCACTGAAGTAAACTTAATATTCCTAAATGCACTCATTTTAAGTATACAGTTTAATGAGTTTTGACATGCTCATCACATTCAGCTATTCACCACCACTATGATCAAGGCATTTTTGTTTCATTTTAATTTCTTCAAAAACTTCCCTTGTGCGACTTTGCAGTCAGGGGCCTCCTCCTCACCTTCAGCCGCTACTGATTTACTTTCCATAACAACGGTTGTGGTTTTTTCTAGAATTACCATTTGAGTGGAGTTGTACAGTGTGTAGTCTTGTGTATGTGATATCTTTCGTTTAGTACAATGCTTTTGACATTCATCCATGCAGTTGCATGTAATCAGGAATTCCTTTTTATTGGTGAATCATATTGTATTTTATAAATACAGAGTATCATTTTATTATCCATTCACCAGTTGATGGACATTTGAATTGTTTTCAGCTTGAGAACTATTATATAAGAAGTTGCTATGGACATTAGCATTCACGTGTTTGTGAGGACATATATTTTTATTTCTCTTGGAATTGCTGGGTTGTATGGTTAAGTGCATGCTTCAGTCTGGAAACTGCCTGTTTTCCAAAATAACTGAACCATTTTGCATGGCCATGAGCACTGTATGAGAGTTCCAGTTTCTCCCCATGCATGTCAACACTTGCTATTGTCAGTTTTTAATTTTTGTCATTGTCAGGGATGCATAGTATTATCTCATCGTGGTATTATTTTACAGGTTTCCTAATGACTAATGAAGTTAAACATTTTTTCATTGATTTTAGGTAATTTATATATCTTTGCTGAAACCTCTGATCAAATCTTGCCCTTAAAAACAATTGACTGGTTTTTCTATTTTTAAATAAAAATTTATTATATATTTTGGATACTCTATCAGACATATGTTTTATAAATATTTTCTTTCTTGGTTTGCCTTTTCATTTTATTACTGGTATCTTTCACAGAACAAAAATTGTTTTTTTTTTTAACAAAACTTTATTTATCAAACATTTTTTTTTATGGTTTATACTTTTTGTGTCCTAAGACATCTTTGCCAAATCTGAGATCACAACATTTTTCTCCTTTCGTTTAGAAGTTTTATAATTTTAGCTCTAGCAGTTAGGTATATAATCCATTTTAAGTTAATTTTTAATGTAATGTAAGGAAAGGATCAAGGTTCATTTTTTTTCACATGAATATCCAACATCTTTAGCATCATTTGTTGAAAAGACTTTCATTTGAAAGTTTGTCTGTTTACCAGGGCTGCCATCACAAATTACAACAAACTGGGTGGCTAAAAACAATAGGCCTCATCTGCCAAGATCCTATTAACAAATAAGGTCACATTCTGAGGTTATAGGTGGACATGAGTTTTTGGGGGCCACTGTCCAACCCATTATAGCATCTTTGTAGAAAATCAGTTGACAATGTGTGAGAGTCTATTTCTGGACACTCCATTCCATTGATTTATACGTCTATCTTTAAACGAATACTACATTATCTAGATTACTTTAGCTTTACAGTGGGTTTTAAGTTCTCCAATTTATTCTCTTTCAAAATAATTTTGGCTATTCTAAGTTCTTTACAATTTCATGCACATTACTGAAATGGTGTATCAATTTCTACAAAAAATCCCTGCTGGGATTTTGATTGGTATTGCTTTGAATCTATTGATCGATTTGACTTTGTAATAATATTGAGTCTTCTGATTCATTTAGTTAAGTCTTCCTTTCACAAATGGTTTATAATATTCAATGTATAGTTTTTGCATACATTTTTCTAAATTGATCCTTAAAGTACTTCATGTTTTTGATGGTATTGTAAATATTTTAAAATTTTAATTTCCAGTTCATTGCTAATATAGAGAAATACTATTGATTTTTATATATTGACATTTTTGAACACACTTATTAACTATAGTAACTTTTTTGGGTATATTCTTTAGGATTTTCTATTTTACTTTAATTTTTTTTAGCAGTGAGGTCTCACTACGTCCAGGCCAGAGTGCAGTGGCTATCCACAGATGTGGTCATAGTGCACTGCAGCCCTGAACTGCTGGTCTTAAGTGATCCTCCCACTTCAGCAGGATGTTTTTCACATAATAATGTCATCTGCAAATAGTTTTGCATCTTCTTTTCCAATCTGCATATCTTATTTCCTACTAATTGCCTATCGCCCTGGCTAGAACCTGTAGTAAATGTTATATAAAAACTATGAGAATATACATCTTGACCTTGTTCCCAATCTTAGGGAGAACCATTGTTTCACCATCAAATGTGATGGAACCTATGTTTTTCAGGGAAGTTCTGTTTCTAGAAGCTTCCTCTTATTTCAAGTTTGCTGAGAGTTTTATCTCAATTGGGTGCTATGTTTTGTCAAATGGTTTTTCTGCATCTGATCATGTTTTTTTTTTCTCCTATATTCTGTTCATATGATGAATTCCATTGATTTTCAAACGTTAAACCAACTTCACATTCCTAGGAAAAGCCCCACTTGATAGTGATGGGGCTTCATAGAGGGATTGCTTGATAGTGATAGGAACATACTAAGCCCCACTTAATATTATTGGATTCTATTTGCTGAAATTTTGTTAACAATTGTTGTGTCTATGTTCATGAAGGATATTGGTCTGTAGCATTTTTGTAATATCTTGGTGTAACACTGGCCTCATAAAATGAGATGGAAAGTGTTTCCTCCTCTTCTCTCATCTGCAAGGTGTTGGGTTTTTTATAGAATTCTCACCATTTCTTTCTTTGGTAGAATTCGCTAGCAGAGACATCTAGGCCTAAAGTTTTCTTTGTGAGGTTTTTAGTTACAAATCCAATTTCTTTAATAGATACAGGGCTACTTGAGTTACTTGAGTGAACTTCAGTAGCTTGTGTCCATTTCATCTGTGTTGTTGAATGGATTGGCATTAAATTGTTCATAACATTTCTTTGTAATTCTTCTGATGTCTGTAGGGTCGGCAGCAATGTCCCTCTCTCATTTCTGATCTTCCTTGGTATTTTGTATTTTTTTTCCTCGATTAGTTTGGCTAGAGGTTTATCAATTTTAGTGATCTTTTCAAAGGACCAGGTTTCAGTTTCACTGATTTTTCTTTATTGTTTTACTGTTTTATATTTCGTTAGTTACTTTTTTTCTTTTTTCTTCCTCTGCTTGTTTTGTGTTTCATTTGCTCTTCTTTTTCTAAATTCTTAGGTGGAAGCTTAGAATATTGATTTGAGATTGTTCTTCTCTGATAAAAACTTTAATGCTATAAAGTTTTGAAGTTCAGTTATCAGATGCATACCCATTTAGGCCGATTACGTCATCTTTTTTTTTTTTTTTTTTTTTTTTTTGTGACAGAGTCTCACTGTGTTGCCCGGGCTAGAGTGCTGTGGTGTCAGCCTAGCTCACAGCAACCTCAGACTCCTGGGCTCAAGCTATCCTGCTGCCTCAGCCTCCTGAGTAACTGGGACTACAGACATGCGCCACCATGCCCGGCTAATTTTTTCTATATAGATTTTTAGTTGTCCAATTAATTTCTTTCTATTTTTAGTAGAGACGGGGTCTTGCTCTTGCTCAGGCTGGTCTCAAACTCCTGACCTTGAGCAATCCACCCGCCTCGGCCTCCCAGAGTGCTAGGATTACAGGCGTGAGCCACCACTCCCGGCCGGATTGTGTCTTCTTAATGAACTGATTCCTTTATCATTATGTATCATTATTCCTTGTGCCGAAGCCTACTCCATGTGATGTATTTTGTAAATTTTTTTCTTTTTTAATAGAGATGGGGTCTGGCTCTTGCTCAGGCTGGTCTCAAACTCCTGAGCTTAAGCAATCCTCCCACCTTGGCCTCCCAGAGTGCTAGGATTACAGGCGTGAGCCACCGTGCCTGGCCTCCACATGATATAAATGTAGCTTCTCTAGTTTTCTATTTCTTAGTATGTGCAAGATATCTATTTATTTTCAAACCATTTTTTAATCTAATCTGGTTTTTTTCTGTCTAATCTGACAATCTTTGCCTTTTAATGGGCATGTTCAGACTATTTATATTTAATGTAATAATTGATAAGGTTGGCATTAAATCTACTGTCTTGCTATGTATATTCTACTTATTCTATCTCCTCTTTGTTTCTTTTCCTCCTCTTTTCCTGCCATGCTGGGGATTGAGAATGTTTCATAATTCCACTTCCTTACAATTGACTCATCAGTTAGTTATACTTATTTTGTTTATTTATTTATTTTTGATTGCTGTAGGGCAGCTGTTCTTTAAGTGCATCCCAGGGTTCCTGAGATCCTTTCAGGGGAGTTGTAAAGTGAGAACTACTTCTGTGATAATATTAATGTTTGCCTTTTTCACTCTCATTCTCTCATGAGTGGAGCTGGCCAGGGGCTACATGACATGTGATTTTGTAAGAGATTATACATAAGGCAGAGAATCCAGCTGTCGTTTATGAAGCCAGACAAGACAGAGATTTGGAAATATGTAAAACAATGCCATTCTCTTCAGTAGTCTTGGATAAGAAAATCTTTTTTTTCCATAAAAATGTTACGTAAACTAGTAATGGACATTTAATATGCTTTGATTAATATATATATTTTAAATTCCTCAGTGTATTAGTATCCTAGGACAGCAGTAACAGAGTACCACAAATTGTGTGGCTTAAAACAACAGAAATTTATTCTCTCAAGTTTTGGAGGCTAGTAGTCTGAAATACAGGTGTTGGGAGAGTTGGTTCCTTCTGGAGGTTCTTAGGGAAAATCTGTTTCATGCCTCTCTCGTGGCTTTTGGTAGCTGCAGGCAATCTTTGGCATTCCTGAACTTTGCAACCACATCGCTCGGATCTATGCCTTCACGTGGTGCTCTACTTACATGTCTCTGCGTCACTTCTTTTAAGGACACCAGTCATATTGGATTAAAGGCCCACCGCATGCCTGTATGTCCTCACTTTAACTACATTGCAATGACACTCTTTCCAAATAAGGTCACGTTCTGAGGTTCTGGGAAGGACATGAATTTGGGGGAACAATATTCGACCCAATACACTCTGTTGTAATTCCTAACACAGTAAATAATGGTAGATACAACCCATATAAATATCTTTTTGGGTCCTCAAGCATTTAAAAACTTTATAAAGAAGTCCTGGACCAAAAAGATTGAGAACCTATGTTCTAGGGTTACAATGTATTTCTTTAATTTAAAATAGTTTATCTTCAAATGATATTATATCACTTTACATAGAGTATAAACTTTAATCTTTTTCTACAATCCACACACCATAAAATAGTGTAAGACTTTAAAACAATATACTTCCATTACCTCTCTCTTTTTTTTGGTGCTATTGTTATATTTTATTTCTATATGTTATAAACCCCAAAAGACATTTTTTTGCTTTGACAATCAATGACATTTTAAAGAGATTCAAAATTAGAAAAATATCATTTTTGTTTGGTTTGGAATTCTAGGTTGAGAATTTCTTTCAGTTTTTACAGCTATCTCTCCATTGTCCTATGGGCTGCATTGTTCTGACAATGTATCTGCTGTTATTCTTGTTCCTCAGTCTTTTCTCTCTTGTTGTTTTTAAGATTTTTCTCTTTATCACTGGCTTACAGCTAATATTTTCCTTTTAATACAATTAGGGCATACGAGTTGAATTCTGTTACATGATATATTGCGTAGTGGTGAAGCCTGGGCTTTTGTACCCATCACCTGAATAGTGCATGTTGTACCCCATAGGTGACTTTTTGTCCCTCACCCCCTACCACCTTCCCCTGCTTTGAGTTTCCAATGTAGCAATTTAATTAAAATGGGACTTACTGTGATTTTCCTCATCTTTATCTGTTACATTAACCTTTACTTAGGACTCATTAAGCTTCTTGGATCTGTGGGTTTCTAGTTTCTACCAAATTTGGAGAAATTTTAGCCATCATTTCTTCACATATTTTATGCCCCTCCTTACTCTTTCTGTGACTTAATTACATGTATACTTGAGATTGTTCCACAGGTCACTGAGGATCTGTTCATAACCTTCCCCAACTTTTCCTGACTGTTCCTCTTTTCTGCCTACTTGTCGTTCAACACTCAGCCTAAGCACCATAGGCTTTATAAAATCACTCCTCAAATACCATCTGTCCAGATTGAAATGTCTGCCTCACCTTTGTACCTTACTGTACCCCACAGATATTCTTATCATAGAATATGTAACATTTGAATGAGCTTATTTGCTTGTCTTCCCAAACCAAATTGAAAGCAACTTTAAGGCAGAACAGTGCTATGACATATGATAAATGTTCAGTAAAACAGAAGTTCTCAAATGCTGAGTTCCTAATAAGATTTGCCTATTTTGCTTAGATCAAAGAGGCAAAAAAAAAAAAAAAATTGACTGCCATTCTTTTTTAAAGTATGTCAATACATTGGCAAGTCAACTGATTCGAGTGTCTAAAAATTACTTAAGCAATAGCTGCATTTTTTTGGACCTTCTGTTCAGCATGAAAAAGGAATAAATGTAAAGTCAAACTCATATTGAAGCACATATTTATGCTTGCATAAAAAATTATTGTACCATTATACTGTGAACATGTCATCAAACAAAAACAAAACAAAACCCCCAAAAATCTGGCATTGAAATTGTGTTTTAAAACAATTTACCTGGCCTGCAAATTTACTACTAGGATCAGCAGAAATAAGGACACCGTCTTTATCCTTTTGAAATCCACTGTGAGACCAATATGTCAGGTCAAATGTAAATGTCTTCACATGCTCTGGATTCTTAGGGTCCTGTATAGTGGTGGTGGTTCTGGAATGCATGGAAATCACACATTTGCTCCCAGAATTCTTCTCTCTCTATAGTCAAATTACAAATTCAGAGTCAATCATTACAGTTTTTCTTTGTTATTTGAGTTGTTTTGCATGTCTTTATAGGTAAGAAATTAAGCCAGGAACTTACCAGTTGCTCAGTTTGTTCTCTAATTGTTGTTACTCTTAGCAGCTGTTACGACAAGTTGTTGTTCCTATAGTCCTCAGAATGTGTGAAAGCCTTGTCTCTAGTCCTATTAATTTTCTGAGAATAGCTGGCTCTCTAACACACAACTATGCTAATAGCAGTAACTACAGCAGTGGAGAGATTGACTCTCAGCATAACTATCCTACTCTCCAGTGAAACTAGTGAAAAATTATCAATGAGAATAAAAAACAACCATTTAAAACCTCTGGAAATTGTCCTGAGGGCAAACATCAAGTGAAGAAACAACTATTCAAGAAAATACACCATTGTTAATAAAAGGAAGAGCCCATGGTATTTGAAGCAAGACTATTCCCTTTCTATCCACTGCCAGCTCGGCAAGGTGGAGACTCCTCCAGACTGTTAGAAAACAACAAAGGGCGCCTTCCCTGCTCCAGGTCCCAGTTGGAAGGCTTTCTTCCCAGGAAGGCCAGGACACCAGCGTTTCTCATTCTGCCTCCATCCACCCATTGCTGAGGCTAAGTCCTAGGTTAGTTGGGGGCGGGGCCTCTTCCACCCAGCTCCCATTCATGGAACAGAGACTCTACTTTGGCTGCGTCCTGACCACCCTTGCCCCGGGTCCTGAGATGCTGATTCCACACCAGGAGAGACAAGCTGAGAGGACCTCAGGCTGCAGCTCTGCCTGCACTGAGTACTCAGCTCCTACAGCAGGGGTGTCACTCAGAGAGCAGCTTGCTATTGTCCACGCATCCAACTCCAGAGTCTGGTTGAGAGATTTTTCTTGGGGGGATAACAGGCCATAAAACCCATATTGCCCAATATGTCTTCCCAAAGGAACTGATTTTTCACTTGCAACGGAGCTTGGGGAATTTCAAGCCTAAGGATGCTCTCAAGAACAGTTGAAGTTGTGATGATGGGCAACTGGGAAGAAAGTCAAGATACAGGTAAAATTGCCTGCCCTGTAATTTGCAGGGGTAAACTGGGGAATAAGATAGCTGGAAGGTATCCTCCTGGGGTCAAAAATATCAAACACTGGTCTCAGAAACTATTCCTCTACAGGAAACGGAATTTGATTGGATTAGTTTGCAGAGCAATTTATGCCCCAGGACACTGTTGGAAACAATCAGCCAGAAAATAGTGAAGTTTAACAGCTGGGCATGATCAAGGAAAGAGAGGCGGGGAGCCCTACCAAAACCACTGTTGCCCCAGGGTAACTGGCGCATGCCCAAAGCTGTGCCTCTCTAAGGAGCAACAGAGGGGCGGAGGGGTGATAGAATGGGGGTAATAGACTTCACTAAAATAATCCCACCCATCACTAAACAAATAAACCAGGAAATAAAAATAACAGGCCACAGAGAGGAGGGAGGCAGTATTGCAGTGATTGTGTTCAAGTAACCCTTATTTTACTTAATAATGGCCCCAAAGTGCAAGAGTACTGTGTCTAATTTATAAATTAAACTTTATCATAGGTCTGTATGTGTAGGAAAAAAAATAGTGTATGTAGGGTTTGGTACTATCTATGGTTTCAGGAATCCACTGGAGATCTTGGAATGTATCCCCTGTGGATAAAGGGGAACTACTGTACCTTTAAATTATCTCTTGAATCCATCTTCTTTCTTCCTTACTACCATACTACCATTCTAGTCTAAGCTAATAAGCTTTGGTGGTGAACTTAAATAAAATGTAATCTCTTTGTAAAGGAGCCTATGGGTTGTAAATACCTGTTTTAGTGCTTACTCCTATAAATCCTTTTTATTAGTTACTCTAGCAATATTAGAGGCCAGTGAAAAAAGACTCCTGGAATAACCACTTTCAGTGTTGTTGAAGGTCAAGCTATAAAATGGTTTTATTTCTTCACTCTTTTTGGGGGGGGGGGCAAAGCATTTAATTTACTGGTCACAAGTTAATTCTTTGACTTTTTTTTATCAGTTGCTTAAGAAATCATGCCACTTTAGAAACCTTAACTGGCCACTACACTTAATGTTATCTAGTTATAGATATAACTGAAGCTATCTGATTATATAGTTGCCTCGCTGCCGAAATATTTTCCACGATATAAATGAATGTAAAGGCACAGAACAGAACTGATACCAAGGGAAATATGCAAAATACTGACGGACAAGAGAGTAAAAACAGCAAGTTGTTCAAGTGGGGAAGACGACCTCATACAAGGTTGTCATTACACTGTAGCCCATTCAGGAGCAGCTGGCCATTGCATTTCACTCTGTCTAGCATGTCCTCATCCAAATTTTACTGATCCTTTATAATCATCTCAAATGCTTCTATCTAGATCTAGGAAGCCTTCGAGATCTATCTGGGCAGAATTTAACTATACCTGTTCTTTCTCTGGGTATATTATTTACCTTACAGCTATGATGGTAACTAGCTTACTCAATAAAAGATTATTTAGTAAATTGAATTATGTAAGAAAGACTGTATGCTGCTAGAGAATGAAGGATTTTCTGCTGTGTTCTCAGTATCTAGTACAGTGTTTGTAGTAGACAGCTAAAAGTTTGCTTAATGGGTCAACTGTTCAGAATTACCTTAAAATTTAACCAGTGCATTAATAAAGTTACACAGCTGTTACACGGTCCAAGAATGAGTACAATTCATGTGTTATCCTAAAATGTTGCAGCAACACATTTTAATGAACAGTGTTTTTTTTAAAAGCTATATAAATAATTTATACATAAGTACATAAATTCACTTAAAATATATAAAGTTCATTTAAAACTGGCAACTTGCTTGCTTATGAGCTGCTTTTATGGGGGGAAATACATTTATTAAAAACAGGTACCACATATCTATACGCACCAAATTGCATTGGTTTAAAAAATTATTAACTTGACAGTACATTTCTTGTCAATTTTTTTATTGTGCTACTTGCGCAAAGGAATGAAATTGTTTACTGAATTATGTTTAGAGCTTTAAATTATTCATTTAACAAGTTCATATAAATAAGTTTAATATTCCATAAATGACAAGCAGCTTAAATACAAGTTTGATAACTATCATTAAAAAGTTAATAAAATCAAAGTCCAATTTAACAAGGCAATCTGACATTGATCACTAACCTGACTAAAAGGCCGCACTCGCACTGCTACTTTCACGCTGTCGATACTTGGCATAGGCATTTTCATCATTTTCTCATTATCCATATTGTTATTTAGTAGAAAAATATGCAGAAAAAGCACACTGCTTATACTTCACATTAAAACATTAAAAGCTTAGCTAACAAAAGCAGCTTGTTTCTAGATGATCAATTATTGAGGGTCCATTCATTACACACTATCAATTACCTGTTATAAATTATTTTACAACACTTATTTATTGATGAATGTTACAGCCTACATCAAGTAGCATCACTTAATTGTGCAGTTGTACTGCAGAGAACAGGGTGTTTTTGTTTTTTCTTTTGCCACATCTACTCACACTCTCCCCATCCTCAATAATCTGTGCCTGAGGTCCTGTGATTACTTGTCAGTTTTAAAACCTGAATATTAAGGTATTTCTGTGATTCAGTAGCAAGCTCTTTCACAGCAATGTTATAATAAAATTTGTACAGACTTCTCATCCTATCAATCAATATTAGGCACACACGAGGTGCACTGAATATCCATAAAACAGATTTATTTTACATTTCCCTTCCTTCTCAAACCCATTTATGAGGTTGCTAGTGAGCAGTGAACCGGTCAATCTAACCTGGATAATTAGTCTCTGAATAATTAAGAGACTTTAGAGATAAATACCCTTTAGGATTGCTGAACAAGAAATGCCAACGTTATAGTTAACTGATGCATTACTTGGAAAATTACTCATTTGAGGTAGATTACACAAAATTTGTGAAACTACATGTCCATAATTCAATTTCAACATAGCAACAGCCCAAAACAAAAAAACACATTTTATGATTAGAAATCTTAATCACAGAATGAAAGTGCATAAATTATAAAATGGCAACTTGAGAAAGAAAATGGGATCAATGCCTACTAGCATATAAAAATCATTATTAAAACAGAAATACCCTTTCAAAAATCTAACAGACACAAACTACTGTGAAGTATACACTTTATTTAACATTGCAGTAACAAGCCATATTTACATATTATATAAATGTATGAAGTCTTAATATAAAATAGAAAAAACTGCCTGGACTAAAAGAATCATCACTCCATATGGAGTTACTTTACTTATTGAAGACCTCCTGTTTACAAAAATTTACAATAATTTATATAAATTATTTTCTTCCAAATTTGATGAGTTTTAATAATCCACACTAATCTGATGACTTTACAAATAGGTGTACATTAAAAACTTCAAAAACAATTACAGCATTTTTCTGCGCAAAACTTGCTTTGGAAAGGAAGATAGTTTCTTTCTGGTCCTTCCAAGAGGCTTTCCTGTTACTTCTGCAGTTTTTCTTGGTTTGCTCTTTACTGCATCAACTGGGCTTGCCAAGGGAGAAATCAGTTTAATTTCTATTGGAGGAGGTGACCAAGAACTTTCTTTTTCTATGTTTCTGAAAAAAAGATATACTCAAGTAAGAAGAAACACATTATATTATAAAATAACTGACTTCCCCACATTTTCCAAGAAACCTTAGGGATTACTTGGCCTAATGCCTCCATTTTATAAAAGAGGTAATGGTTTCGAGAGAAGTCAAGCTTTAAGTCATATAAGCTAATGAGAGGCAGAGTTAAGGTTTCACTTAAAGGAATTCTTCCTTTTTGATTTGGATATTTAAAAACAATAATTGTTGAATTTTCCTTTAAGTGTTTTGTATGTATTATTATTGTTGGATTATAAGGATGGGTCAAGTACCAGCAGTCAGTCCAGGGGACAAGAGCCCAGAAGGCTCAGGTTGCATATCAGAAACGGCAATTCTCAAAACCCAGCAATTATCAAATATGTATATAATTTCACAAACATGAGTTTTCCAAATATATACAAAGCCAATTCATATGTAAACAGTGATATTAATTATGGTCAATAGTGTCATTAAATCAATTTTTAAAATAAGGTAAAATGGATTCATTTATACTTTTATTATATTCAACCATGCCTAAGCACAGCATGAACAACAAATGCTGTGTAACAAATACATCTGAAATGGAGTAATTTTCCCATGGATGCAGTTTTATTACTAATAGTAAAATAACAGCAAGATTTCTAAGTATTTTTTTTTTAACAGTTACCTATCTTTACCAATAAAATGGTGAACCATCCCACTTCCCTCCCCCATCCACTGCAAAAACAGAAAGATCCATTGGGTATTCTAAACTGCCCCCACCCAACCATCCTTTAAAACAGATGAATGGGCTTTCATGCTATATGGAGAAATCCACCGTCAGCAGTAAAATCTGCGCTTGTAAATGTCCTAAGAATTACCCTTATCCGATGAGCTGAATTTCCCTTTTAAAATTAAGTCTTCTCAAATCTAATGTTGAGAAACAAATGGATAAAAATTATATAGAAAAGGTCATACCTGCTTGTTTCTTTTGTTTTTGCAGTCCTCATTCTTTTTGCTTTTTGCTTTCCCACAGTTTCTACTGATTTAGAATCATCTTCCTATGGGTTAAAATTTTAAAAAGACGTATCTTAAGTAATTAAACATTTAAGTCTAAACTTAAAAAAAGGTTCTATCCCGAGTCACGGAATACGACAGCCAAACACTGCTAATGAATTCAAACTAAGTAAGTCTGAAATTGACTCCTTTTCTTATATTTTTTAGTAAAAACCTTACTTATGTTGGACTGCTCTTTATTCCCCATTTTTACAATTCAGCTCATCTCCAAATTGTAGTCAGTTTTATTTTTTAATGTTTCCACTGTCCACATGCCCTGCTGTTGTCATTGTCTTTGTGCAGACGCCACTTGGGTGGGGAACCTGAAGCCTTCCGATTTCAAGATTGTTCTTTTTTATGCACCAAAGGAGGCAAGAAAAGCTTCATCTTTCTCTGCTGCACCCCTTTTAATAAAAGGACTTGTTCTATAAAATTTGGAGTCAGTAGAAAGGCTGCACTTAAGGACCTAGAAGGCCACATGTGGCCTTAAGGCTGCAGGTTCCCCACCCCTGCGAGTTGGTGAGCACTCCCCTCCACCTGCCATTGCCATGCTTCTGGGCCTTTGCATCTGCTGTTTTGTCTGCCAGGAATGCCTGTCTCCTCTACGTTCTGCCTATAGTGGTATTTAGGTACAAATAATTCTTACTATGATGTAAAACAATCATTTGTTTTTGTTCAATTAAACTGTTAGTGCCTAAAAGACAAGGAATTTGCCTGAATTATTTTTGTGCAAGCCTTTGGTCCTTGCATAGTAATTGACTCATGACAGATAATTCAATAACTGTTTATGAATTAATGTTTATAAATATAAGGGACTCACAATCCCTGACCTGTTCTTATTTTAGGGTTATGTCCAATTAGGTGACAGAATCTTAAATACAGTCTTTCCAAGTGTGTTCTGTGAACACCCAGGGGTTCAAGGACCTACATCTCAAATAAACTCATCCAGGTAATTCTGATGGGTACTAGAATTTAAAACCTTTCCCCTAACAGACAATGTAAACTGTAACTGCCAGTAATATATCATCAGTAACATACCACAGATCTTTCTGAAAGACAGGTTCATTCAAAGGTGTAGATAAGATAATTTTGAGCTTTTGGTATCAATAGTTATCTTTAAAGAAATTTATTTAGGAAATATTTGCTTCAAAAAGTAATAAAATTTAAAATTTAAATAAATTTTATTCAATAAAACATTGGTCGAAATAAAAAGCATGTTTTAACAAACACACAAATAAAATCATGCATTCCTTACCAGTTCATCCACAAGCTTGGATGTACTAGATGTGTTTTTTTGCCTGGTCCTCAAAGCAGGAGGTGAGGAGACAAACTGAGAAGATGAATCTGTAACGAATTCTTTCAGCTGTGCAGGAGCCTCTATTTTTTTAGCTAAAGTTGGAAAAAACAAAACGCTGTACCAATATATTTATATACATATAAAAATAAAAACTCAGAACAAATGACATACTTTAGAAAGATGCAAACATCCCCAAACCTGGAAAACATTAATATCCCAACCTAATTATCCACGTTAGGACAGAAATAAGAGGAAAAATCCCAACATCATTTGGGTAAATCAAATGTTTAGGAATATTTAATCTTTCAAACTAAAAAGTGCTACAATATAAAGATAGAACTTGAAAGCGAGTACAAAACTGTATTAGTCCATTAGTTTTAATCCTTACTGTTCTTCAAACATTCTGCAGAGACAAAGCATTAATCCCATATATTATATAACCTGAGTTAGTCTACAGCATAATTCCTACTATCCCAGAGACAATGTTTTTATTTACAAAGTAAATTTTTATTTTCAAAGAAGAGACTCAACCCTTCTTTCCAGCCAGCTCATTCTGAGCTACTTATTCCAGTCAAGGGTAGCAATAGAAAAATTCATTTTAAAAAGGGAAAAGTAAACAGAGAAAGTGATAATATAGAAAAAAGGCTGATAGGAAGATATTCCATAGATAAATAAAAATGATTTAATTAAGAATTGGTTTAAAATATGCAATTAATGTTGGGTGGTGGCTCACGGCTATAATCCTACCAGGTGTGGGAGGCCAAGCTGGGAGGATCCCTTAAGGCCTGTCTCTACAAAAAATGAAAAAAAATTAGCTGGGTGTGGTGGTATGCACACTTAGTCCCAGCTACTTGGTAGGCTGAGCTGCGAAGATTGCTCGGGCCCAGGAGTTCAAGGCTGCAGTGAGCTATGATTACCCTACTGTACTCCAGCCTGGGTGACAGAGCAAGACCTTGTCTCTAAAAAAATAAAAATAAATAGATTAAATTGAAAGACCTAGGTTAAAACCCAATACTGTGCTGGTAAATGGCTCTCTGGAAAAAGCAGCTTTGATTTATTAGCATTTGCCAGTTTCTGAGTTATAAATGTTCCTACTGTGGCCAAATTCAAACCTTGGCTGGCTCACAAGATTTTTAAATATTTAACAATTGGCTCCTAACAGCTAGCAGGAGTTGGCTCCAGACAACACTATGACCTGGGTGATGTGAGTGCTCAGTTTCACTAACTTCAATTTCCTCAGTATGGAAAGAAGGAAGTAATAGTACCTATACTTCATTGGGTTGTATAATAGTAGGAATCAAATGAATACATCTAGCGTAACCTCAGACATATAGGAGGCCCTTGTTAATAAATATTTGCTGTTGTATAATAGAAATTGGACAAAATTCCACGAAGCGTAAAGCTTCACATTCATTTAGTGAGTAAAATACAACTAAATAAAATTCTAAGATACCTGTTTCTTTGACAGGTTTCAATAAAATAGAAGACCACCTCTAGCCTTCCAATGATATAACAGTATTTCTGAATCCACTCGTCTCTGTATCTCCCCATTCCTACCTAAAGGAGTTCCAAAAATACAATTTAAATACGCACAAAGTACAGAAAGTATTGTTAAGAGTGTAGAAACCATAATCTAAGGGGGCAAAGGAAGAAAGAAAACTGCATCCTATCGTGGTAATTGCTATTAAAGTACTGAATACAACACTCACAAGAACCCTGTGAAGTACCAATACCACCTTCATTCTAAGGAGGAGGAAACAAGGCTCAGAAAAGTTAAATGATTTCTGCCCAGCTAGTAAGTGGAAGGAATAAGAGATATGAATCCCAAGTTTCTTATCACCTCCAGTCCAGTCATCTCATACTAGAAGGTGCCTATTTCTAATACTAGAAAACCTGAAAACAATTCAAATATCCAACAGGACAATGTTTAAGCAACCTGTGGCACATTTTCAAGATGAAATGCTACCTGTGGACTCTATCAATATGAAACAATAACAGAAACAAGAACTCCAAAATCATTACACTTATGTTTTGAAGAATAAGCCTACCTGAAAATGCTCATGAAGTGGGAGAAAAATGTAGGATATATGCATAAACCACAGGATTTTTTTTTTTTTTTTTTTGAGATAGAGTCTCACTGTGTTGCCCGGGCTAGAGTGCCGTGGCGTCAGCCTAGCTCACAGCAACCTCAAACTCCTGGGCTCAAGCGATCCTCCTGCCTCAGCCTCCCGAGTAGCTAGGACTATAGGCACGCGCCACCATGCCCGGCTAATTTTTTATATGTATTTTTAGTTGTCCAATTAATTTCTTTCTAATTTTAGTAGAGATGGGGTCTCGCTCTTGCTCAGGCTGGTTTCGAACTCCTGAGCTCAAACAATCCGCCCGCCTCGGCCTCCTGAGAGCTAGGATTACAGGCGTGAGCCACCGCGCCCGGCCTAAACCACAGGATTTTGTTTTTTATTTTAAAAAAAAACTATATACATGACTAGAAGGATATACAAGAAAATGTGAATAGTGGTTCTCTAGATAGCTAGATTATATATTTCTATTTTCGAAGTAGGCAAGTATTATTTTTAACAAAAATTCTATATAAATGACAACTATGTAAAGATGACAAAGATCAGAATTACTGAGCTATATGCTATATCAAAATAACCCTCAATTTTTGTGTTTACTACACTTCTCTGGGCCCTAAGGAAAGTATAAAAGCTATGTAAATGACATTCTTCTTCTGTCACTCACTGCTGTGTTTTTCATTTTAACTTTAATATAGCAGCTTAATAAAGTTAACATAAAAAAGTTAGCTAAAATCTCACATATTTTGTCATTTCATTCTCCTCCATGCAAAATATAGGTGTTAACTTTCTTAACACCATGAAGAGACTGAATTATACAATACTACCAAAATCAAAGACCTAATAAAAAAATTATTTAGGGAAGGAGTGGAGAGGAGGATCTCCTGCAACTATACATCGTTTTTAGGACAAGTGATAATTGTACAGGGAGGGTCGCTTTCCTGCGCTTAGGCTGTATCAACATAACAAAAGATTGCATAAATACGATATATTTTAAGGGGTTTCTGCATGGTGAATGCTCATGATAGAAAACGTCACAGATTTCTCAATGGCTTGTCTTTTTTTGGCCTATGTCAAGTCAGGAGGCAACTATATAGGAGGTTCACTAACACATTAAAAATTCATGACAGTTTTTAAAAGTTTAAATAAAATAATAAAGTCCTTTATTTACAAGGCCCTGAATTGCTTTGCTGAAATTCAAATTTTAAACCATAACTTATCTTTACAAAGAGTTTCTCTAATGGGATCTATTCAGCTACACCAACGTCTTAACCTTTTTTTCATTATTGCCTTTTTAGACATTTTTAAAGCACCCCCTCCCACTGAAATTGTTTTTCCCCATGAAATTTTATTGCCACAGATACACTGTTACCTGTGTACTTTATATATGTGCTTTATATTAATACATAAAAAGAGTAAGATATTTTCACCCTTTTGGGAGAGAGATCACTCCTATTGGGAAGGTATAATTTATACCAACAAAACGATACAATCATTAGCTCATCAGTGACAATGAGGGATGAGGGCATGCAGACTTGCCAGTTTGTGGGCAATAGTGAATGTGGATTTAAATAATTTCTGTATCCTAATCAATAAAAAGCCACTGATGGTTCTGTCCAAAACAATTTGGGGTTGTGGATGTCACTAGGGTGTGAGCCAAACAGTAGTACTTAGGAGATTAAAAATGCCGATTCTATTTGGGGAGAAACCAAAATTAAAAGTCACTTACCATATAAAGGCACTATTTAAAAAATAAAATCTATATCAAGTGAATTATAGAATTTACAAAGTCATATTGAACCACATTAGATTCTTAAATCTCAAACTTTGAAACATGAAATCTTTTAACTTTCCTACTAAAAGAACAATTTTAGTTTTTTGGGATTTTGTTTTGGAGGGGAGAAATCCCCTATAATTACAAATCATTTTTAGGACAAATAATCAATTAGTGCTTTCAAACAATCAAATTTTAGCTAAAGACTCTGAATGAAATAGAAGAGAAAGAAAAGTACCTTTTTCTTTCCTTGGAACTTTTGAGACAGGAGGAGAAAGTAGAAATGGCTCATTTGTTGGTTCAGAAAGGTCTGGCAACATGATGGCCTTGCTAGATCTAGTCCTTGTTCTATGGGATGATTTAGTAAAAGCAGTTGTAGCAAGCAAACTTTCTTTTTGGTAATTTGGTTCTTTGGGTGTCACTTCACCTACGCGTTCTTCTGAGTGTAATGAACGTTTTTGGCTTTGATTTTCAGTCCGTTTTGTAAGCTTTTTCTTAGAACTCCTCACCATAGCAAGTTCCTCATTTGGCACTAAAACAGATTCTTCTAAAGATGGTTTTCCAACATCAATATTCTCACTTTTAGCTGGGGTGTTTCTTGTAGATCTCCTTTGGATGCTGAGAGCTTCTCTCCTTTTCGGACTTCTCTCTCCCTTAACAGCCTCAGATCCTACATCTTCAGATGGATTTATTTTTCTTGGTCTACCACGTTTCTTAGGCATGGTAGGTGTATCAAATTCTGCTTGAAGAGTTAACTGGGATGAATCAAGTTTACAGTCTTCTATCACATCTGATGGACTAACCTCTCTCTTTCTGATCCTACTCCTATGTTGAATAGGCAGTTGCTGGTCACTGGATTTTCCATCTTGTTTATATCCTTTATTTTCAGAAGCATCTAAATTAGCACTTCTCAGTTTTCTGATGGTTTTGCTAGGACTTGCTACTTTACTAACTTTTAGATCATTTATAATATCAATACTTTCCTCATTTTCTACAGATTTTTTAATTCTTGTAGGAGTCTTTTTTGTAACAGATGGGAGCTTAACTTCTTTTTTAAAAGAAATTTCTTTAGTTGCTGGTTCCAACTGCTGAGATGATTTTAACTTTCTTAATTTCCTAACTGTAGTGACCTGGAATTCCTGTTCCACAGAATTAACACTTTCTAATGTATCTTGATTAATTTCTCTCTTTCTTCTTCCTCTTCGAGGAGTAATAGAATTTTGAGGTATTTGCTGGTTCTGAGATATTCCTTCAACATCAGAGCAGGTGCTCTCAGAAGCCTCAGAAATTTTTGTTTTCCTCGTTTTCTTCATAACTGACAGCTGCAGCATCTTAGGAGTAGCAACACCTGCTGACTCTTCCTGTTGTGCTGATTTGATATTCAGATTTTGGACACGCTGTCCTCTTGTGCGAGTTCTGGAAGAAACCATGTCATCCACCTGGCTGACATTGATAGTCATTGTACTTGTTTCTTGAACAGTTTTAGGTGTAGATTTGACTACCCTGGTGGAACTCATTACCTTTTGGCTAATTAAAGGTATATTTTCATGAATGGTCTGTTCCATTGTATCTGAAGTAATCTCTTTACTTCTTGTGTCTTTAATTACATCTAATAAATTTTCTGCAATTGCTACTTTAATTGGTTCAGGCACATATGGTAAAGTCTCTCCCTTTTGGGACTCTTGGTCACTAGTTATAATAGGTGGCAAATTTGCAACATGTCCATGATTATCATTTTCCCCACTGGACACAAGTTTTTCCTCAGTTGCTGTGTTAACTGCTTTAGGTAACACATCAGATGATGCAGAATCACCTGGATCAATTTCTCCTTCTTCACCTTCCAATATCAAGGTAAAGTTGCTCTGAGCCACAAAAAGTTCCCCATCTACTTCAGCAATGTCACATTCAGCAGAGTCTTTATTTTCAGGCAAGTCACAAAACTGTTGCTCCATAGTATCAAGATTATACTGAAGCTTAAGAGTTCTTGAGGGATACAACTCATTAAATGAAAGATTCCTAGCCTCTTCTCCTGAATCTTGATCTTCAAGCTTTTCAAGTCCAATCACCTAAAAATAAAGAGACTGGTTAAAGAATTTTAATATATATTTTAACAAATCACATAGGTTTTTAATGACCATCTTACCCTTGGTGTGTGCATTTTTAAACATAAACTATATTTAATATGGTATATACTTATGGGTTTACTTTATAAAATATTCATTTAGGCAATCAGACTTTCTCATTCAGTCAAAATAACTAGATAGAAAAGATTTTGAGATTATGACTAAAATTAAACTAGAAATTCCACATTTCCCTGGCTAAAAAGACAGTCTTAACAAAATCTTAAAAATTATTATGATGCTAACAGTTGTAAGAAGAATTAAGGACTTATTCTATTCTCACCCAAGAAAAAAAATTAACTGGAGAAAAAGAAACAACCCCCATACTGTGTTTTAATCCCCAAATTACCTAACTATCCACACTTTTCTAAACAGCATGATCCCCATAAGGTTGAAGAACAATTCACCTACATAAGCTCCCTTGGGCTAGACTCAATCCTCTTCCCTTTGCTGGGGCTGCATAAACCATGAAATTCCTAAGGCTTTCAAGTTCAGTACCTCTCCTGCAAGGGTTTGGTGGAAGAAGGAATGGTCCTTGCATTTACCTTTTGGTAAGGGAAGGGGAGAAAAAGGAGGAGGTAGAAAGTAACAGAGAGATCTCCTGACCAAGAAGGTAGAACATTACCACCCACCTAGACAATGACATTTTCCCACTCCCCAAACATTCAGTGAGATGACAGATTGGAAATAACCTAGAAATGAGGATTCCCACTTACACCATGCCCACAATTTTTATTAGCTTCCCAACTGAAGAAATAGGAACTTTATCCTTCTATTTTACAGTGAGAATACTCGTTAAGATGAATATGGATAACTATGACATTTTTATGAGTTAAGAAACTTCCCAAATTCTATACAGATTTCTATAAATAATTACGAGAGTTGGTTTTTCATTTTAAATTCATTTATCATATAAAAGTTGCCTGTTGATAACAAGTTATTTGATGGAATTTTTTAAAAAGTCACATTAAGTACCAAAAAAATCAAATCCTTTCTAGAGTGTATAGAAGTTCAACACCAGCCAGTTTAATATCTTTCTCCCATGAGGATGCATGGGGCAAAAGTCCTGTTTAACTGTATCCACATATTTAATATATACTCTGAAAGGTCTAAATGTTATACTTGTCTCTGGAGTGGTCATTATCTGTTTTCATATGACTAAAAAACCCTTTCATTTGAATCAGATTAAAAGCAAAAATTAAATAGTTAAAATTGTGGCTTTGCTCACACAGCCTTTTGGCTTTCATGAAAACTAATTTCTTTCCTTTTCTTTTTTGAGATGGGGATATTGCCCAGCCTGGTCTCAAATCTGGGCTGAAAAATCTTCCCGCCTCCTCCTCCCAAGTAGCTGGGACTATAAAAGTGCATGCCACGACACCTGTCACGAAACCCATTTCTTAAAGGATGTGTTCTTTTACATTCCACAAAATATTTATATGCTTATTTTTTGAATCTAGATTTTTATAGAGGTTTTTATATAGCAGTCAAATAATACATCAGCTTTGAACTATTGTTTTGACTAAACCAAAACTAAAGACTGACAAAAAAGTAAAAAATTAATTTTTTTACATGAATTTCTTGAGTATCAGGAGAACTGTCAGAAATTGGAGGCTTTTCTTCTGGTAAGTCAACACTTTCTTTTAGTACATCGACTTCTATTTCATGATCCTCTTTTAAGTTCAATGCTATTTCCTGGTCAAGCCTATGTTCAGAGATAATAGGACCTTCGGAGATAGTGAGCCCAGAGCTTCCACTACCGCCAAGGACATCGGCCACAGCTGAAAGAAAAATAAGAGTTAATCTTTTACATTTTAAACTGAAAAATAGATCTATATACAATTAAGGAGGAAAAGTCTACACTGCACTTGAGAATATTATCTTAATAAACTGTCATGTTGCCAGAATGTCTTAAAGGGGAAAAGCCTGTGAAGATTTACATACTAATCCTCTTTTCTTCAGTACCCTTTCAGTTTAAACAATACATACTTGTTTTCCGTGAAGGTAAAACACAGAAGATAAATGGGTACAAATGTACTCTATTACTTAAAACAAAACAAAACAAAACACCTTTTCTTTTTTCTTCCTCTTTGCCAATGTTTTGTATGTCATTTAGCAATTACATTTGGGTTTAGAGTTTGTGAATGACACAAAATACTTCAAGGGGGGAAAAGATGATCAAAAATCCTTTAGTATTTGACAAAAATTAATTTAAAAAAGGTTAAAAAACCAAACTATGAAAAAATATTTTCACACTTTTAACAGATAATGGGGCTATTATCACTAACATGCAAACACTAATAAGATGAAAATGTTTTCCATCTGTCAGTTTGGCAAAGAGGAAATGGAAAACAGGTACTTTATCTTCTACTCATCAGTAATGAAAGTAAGTATACAACCTTTATTGGAGAAAACAATAAAATATTAAAAATCTGTGCATACTCTTTGATCCAGCAAGCTCATGTCACTATCCAACAGAAATACTGACACAGAATGAACAAAGGCACAAGAATATTCACTGCAGAAATGAAATAGCAAAACAAACAAAAAAAAAATGGTGATGAGCCCCTATGTTCACCATTAAGCAATTAGGTAAACATTCCACAGAATAACCATACTATGCAATACTATTAGAGTCATTAAAAAGAGCAGAATCAATCTGTATCACTGACATGGAAAAATATCTTAAATATATTAAGGAAAGAAAGTTGCTTTTTTGATAATAAATGTACTAATAATGTAATGATAATTATTTATGATAATAGCTAGCATTTATTAAACTTTAAGTGTCAAGCACTACTCTAAACACTTTACATGCAACTGGCTTAACCCTGACAACTCTATGAAATGATAGTTTTAAATAGGAATATTAATAGTATCAATATTTTACAGACAAAAAATAGATGGATAGCTCATAGTCTTACAGTAAGTGTAGAACTGTGTTATAAACCCTTTAGCCACCAAATTATCTCCTCTTTGACTCTTACAGTGGAAGTCTTAGAATGGTTTTTGTGGACATATTTTTCTTTGTAACATGAAAGAACAACACAGTAGATTAGCAGTCTACAGCCAGACTGCATACCTATTTGATCTTCCTAGACTCAGGTATCTACATGGGCAACTTTCATTTTTATTCTGTGTTATTCACAGATGAGGGAAAATATGCACAGAAAAAAAAAAAATCAGGAAAAAGATACTTTAAATTGTTAATTATGGATCCCTAAAATGGGTAACCAGGTTTTTACTTTACATGTTAGACAGTTCTCTCTGGATTATCTTATAATCATACATTACACTGCTAATCAGGAGGCAAAAACAGGTCTACTCAAGCTTACTATAAGCCCTATTCATAATGTGACAGGCAGAAAGGCAGAACTGTTGACAGCATGGGCTCTAGAGTCAGGTAACTATGTCATAGTGTATAGTGTTGTGAGGATTAAATGAGTTAATATATGTGAAACGCAGACAAGTTCCAGACATAGACATTCAAGGCATCTGCTGCTCCTAAACCTAATTGTAAGCTCATTGAGGAAAATGTATCTTCCTCATCTCTGTATAGTCAGGGTCTAAGAAATAGCACTCAAAAAAAAGTTCATTAGATAAAAAAAAAATTAAATGAATTCCATATCTTTATTTCCCTGAAGTAAATTCAGTCATTTGTGATTATTTTCTAACAAAAAGCCAACATTGTTTGGCCTTAAGTTATCACAAACACAGAATAAAAATGAAAGTTGCCCATGTAGATACCTGAGTCTAGGAAGATCAAATAGGTATGCAGTCTGGCTGTAGACTGCTAATCTACTGTGTTGTTCTTTCATGTTACAAAGAAAAATATGTCCACAAAAACCATTCTAAGACTTCCACTATAAGAGCCACAGAATGCCGTATAGGCAATCCACTGTTTTGATAGCTGATACATCATAAAATGCTTTTATGCCAGGAAAGCTGACTAGAGAGGAAGAACTGAGGGAAAAAAAAACCTGAATAGAATAGATTTTTTTCTAAGAACAGAATACTTTACTCAGAACACTAAAATGAAATAATCCTAAAGTCAAAATAATACATACATTTATTGTTATCTGCTCTAACTGTAGAGGTGCAGGTTTCAACAGGTATTAATCCTTCATCCAAAACTGGTACCTTGGACTTCAGGGTGAGAATTTTCCTTTAGAAATAGAAATATATGCTTTAGTGTATAAGAAGATCCTGTCTGCTCTAACCTGCTTTAGTCCTACTGCCTTACCTATTTGTCATTTTGTTGATGAAAACTGAGGGTCAGAGAAACAATATCATCCAAGCTCATCTTGAACAATATAAAATTTACAAGTGAATTTAGAAACAAATATGGTACTTGTTTTTCCTATTCTCTAATATTTTATTTTTTTGGCAACAGTGACATGGCCTTCGAGTACAAATGAAATGATAATCTGTGGCCATATTTTTCAAATAAGTCTGTCAAGTATTACAGAACATTTCCTATGTACTCAGCAGAAGGAGGTTCAATATTTTAATGCTAACTGAAAAGAGTATGACGAATGACTCAGAATGGGAAACCAACGGGCCCTGTGCTAATCCATGTGATGAAAATAAATTCTGGAATATGCTGACAGTGGTCCTTTGCTATTCTGAGCTAGCCTTTCCCCAAAACCCAACTAAAGCATGCTGATTTTAAAATAGGACAGATAATATTATAAAGTAAATTCAAGGAAAAGCAGGTAATTGGAATATATATAGATTTTTCCAAGACTTATCTAAGTCATAATATTTACAGAAAGGGTAACAGAACCAATGATAAATCTCCACAAAATATCAAATAAACTTACATTTAAAAAGGAACTAGTTTGCCAAGATAGTGAATATTGACCTAGATTCTCACTGGTTACCACAAAGTTTCTTCTCACGTGATTGCTGCAATTACCCATCAAACCCATTGTAATAAATAGCATTAATTTTCACTAAAATTCAAAAAACACTAGAACAAGACAATAATTGGTAATCCTTTCATATTAGTTTCTCTCACTTCTTCCATGAAGGCCTCGCAAAAATTCCAGCTAATCTGGATTTCTCTTCTTAGAAGTGAAGCATGTGACTGATTTCAAGAGGAGACTATTATATAGACACTAAATTTTGTGGGTGGTTTGTGAAGTCACTTTCATTATTTATAAAGTAATGAACCACTCACAATGTCTTAAATTGTTTTATGTGGGTTAATTTCACTAAATTACCCTTACACCTTGATAATTGAAGCTGTCACTTTTTGTGTCTTCTGCAACAGTGCTACTCAAAGTGCTTATATACAAATCTGTGTCCAGTGTTGCAATGAGACAAGGAGCGTTTTTGCCAGAAGGTCAATCAATTACTTCACACTTCACTAATCATACTGATTAGCTCAGCTGACTTTCACTAAAGGAAGCAGTACACTGATTTATATTCCAATGCAAGATGCTTATCTTGTTGCAGACCATAAACTGTTTGAAGCACTTGCCACTCTACTAGACCATGCTTCAAATAGCACTGCCCTATATAATCTAGTGTATTGCCTTTCCTGGTACAAAGTGTCCATGAAATTATTTGGGAGCATAATACTTCAATTAGTCACTAAAAAAGAAATAAAAACTTAGCTAGAGTCTTGTATCGAATAAATGGTAGGGCATAAAATTATCTCTGAGTCATCTTCCTTATGTTCCACTTTGATCCTATAGGCATCCTGTGTCTGACATCCTGAAACCACTGAAAAGGAGAGGGCATGGAGGAATGCACAGCTCTGAGTGACACTTTTGCTCTTTAACAAAACCAGAATCACCAAAGAATATTAAAAGAGTTCTGCTTCACTTCATCATGTCTTCATATATTCCAGAAATGTCTAGTAGCATTGTAAGATTTCATGGTAACTACCAAATAACACACAATTGTACAACTAAACTTCTTTTAAAACAGACATTACAAAAATGGAAACGTCAAAGATTTAAATAAGATCTAATATGCATAGAATATTTTACTGCTGGTTCACAATTTCATTAAGCTTTAAAAGTATCTGAATTTTCTTCCATAAACTTACCCTTCATGGGTAGATGGTTCACAAGCAGAAGCTTCAAGTCCTTGAATAGGGCTTAAGTGATTTAGTTCTGAAAATGCATCCTCTGCCACTAAGAGATCCTTTGTCTCTGCATCTTCTAAAGTGCCTATAAATCATACAGATAAGAATATTACTTATGCTAAATGTTCAGCAATTACTAGTGGTCTTGGACTATTATTTTTTAAAAAGTTGTTGGGTCTGGTTTTTTGTTCTTTTAGTTTTACTCCCTGGTTACCAGACTGCCAGTATTTCAATCTTCTAATTCTCTGAGCCTAAATCAACAGCCCCCCTCAACCTCCCACTTCTCACTTTTGGCTTATCCAGCACTTAAACATGCAAATGTTTTATGTATATTAACTCACTTAATGCTCAACATCCAAAGAGGTACATGAGAAAACTGAAGCATAAGCATACATTGCTGTCACAAAGTTTGCTACTTAGTAAGTAGCTAAGTTACGATTCAAATTTAGCCTATTTCACATTAGAGTTTATGTTATATTCCCCCTCACAAAAACAATAAAGATTACCACTTGAGACTGCCTAACACTGTAAGAATAATCAATGAAGATAGTGCTATGAACATTCTCAAATATTTATCATTTAAATATTTAAATAGAACATCAAAAAACACATCAAAAGAGCAATGTAAATTTCTAGACATATGCTAATTAGGAGTGTCTTAAAGTTCTTAGAACAATTAATAATGCCTACGTTTACTAAGTAAAGATACCATAGTACAAACTTCACTGGACTCATATCTTAAGATAACTTGGTTCAGTCTAGGCAGAAAATATTTCCCAAAAGAAACTACTTATGACACAAATTTTTATTTAAGTATGTGGTTTTACAGATTTAAAGTTAGGAGTTACTTTAAATAAACTTGTTAGAACTGTGTGAGGTGTAAGAAAAATAAGCTTAGTTTTCCGATTCACCAATTCTAGGCCAAGTCTCTCCTCTTCCTGGTGTTCCTCTGGCCCCTCCTATGCCTCCCAGCACGGCATTAACTAAACTGCATCATTCATTACAAATGCTTGTTTGTCAACATAGTCCACTACGCTCTTCGTGACATGTGGGCAATTAGGACGTCTACTTTACTGACTGATTGATCTTCAACACCTAGCATACATACAGGAGCAGCTAACTGAAGCACATACATTAAAAAAAAATTTTGATAAGTAAATGAATATAAAGACAATAAATTCATGGGTCTTTGGACCTGTATTTTGATTGTCCAGTGACTGTTTTGGAGGTGGGGATGGAGAATAGAATGAAATTCCTCATTTCCGAGAATTCTAGAAAGTTGGGGCAGCTGGATAAATAAAAATTGCAGTAACAATCTCGTCTGTAAAGTTAATATTGTTCTTTCTCATAGCTATGAGAAGGCATTTCAAGTCAGACTATATGGCATCTTATGTTTCCTTCCTTTAACATTGCTGTTGTTTTCAAATTTCATGGCCAAATAAAAAAAAGTAATACACGTAAGTTCTCCTCCTATCAAATCTTATACCTACTTATGAAACAATGTAAGCCATACTTGTAAGCTGAAAGAATAGATTTGTGCATTATGTCTAGGACCTAGCACACTGCGAGCATACAATAATTTAATCCTGATTTTTTCAGGGTGGAAAAAAATTCCATTACAAATTTTATTGACAAATATCAATAGCAATCTTGACTATTTGGAAATGAGTTCTTACCCATTTGTTTCTCCAGGTTTGAAGTAGTTACTTTTGACTCAAACATATCTTTCTCACTGTCCTTTTCAGTTTGTTCAGTTAAATTCGTAATTAGTTCAGAGGAAGAGTTTGTTGGCTTAGACGCCATGAAAACACTATTTTCAAAGTCTTCTGGTGATGGTGCATCCTGATACTCTAAGGTAGTTTCGTCTGATCTGGCTGAAGTATTGCTGTTTTCTTTGCTCATGTCCAGTGTGTCCAAACTTTGTGAGGGTGTATCCTGTGACCTCACATCCATTTCTTGATGGTCCTTCTCAGGGCTGATATTCAGGGAAAAAGATGTGGTCTTATCTTTGTTCTTCAGCCATTCAGTTTCTATTTCAACTTCACATTTTTGAAAAGGTGTAGTAACAAATACTTTTGTTTTGTTGTCATCTGCAGCCTGTAATGTAAGATTTTGAAAAGAAAAAAAATTAACCAGTAAATATCAGTCTAGTTCAAAGCTACCCATCCCAATCATACCCACCCTTTCCATGCTCTGTATTTCTCCAAACTCTCTTCTTAATCAAAATTCACTTATTCCAAATCTGTTCTCTTCAGATACATAACTAAAAGTTAATGGTGGTTAATGGTTCCCTAACTGGTAATATATCGGAATTTTCAGAAGACAAACATAGCACAGGCTAGTCACCAAATGGGTTCCTGTTAACCTACAGTGGAGCTCTGAAGACACACCCCTCCTACATAGACAACCAGTTAGAAACTTAAGCAACACAATATAAGGTAAACAAACAAGAAAACATAGACTCAGAATTAAGAGGTCTAGAATTCTAGTCCCCTCTCTGCTACCAAATAGTTGACTACAGGCAACTTATTGGTGCTTCTGAGACCTATTTTTTTAACCTGTAAAATGGTGAGTTTCACTTAGCCAGTGCCCTAATGTTTCTTTCAGGACTTATCTTTCCTGATTTCATAAATATCCATGTGATATTATTTAGTCTTTTCTCCCAATTATTAGCAAACTTACTCCAGCAGTCCACTTTGTGTTCATATCTTCTTCCATGAATGAAATTCTAGTTTCTTTAAGTCGTAAAGGAGGAGTAAGAGACCTTCCAGGTGATAAAGAGGGCGACGCTAAAGGTGTTGTTCGAAGACCAGACCTTAGGATGGACTGAGGAGTGAACTCAGCAAATCCAGAAGAAGTAACTGACATGGCCAAAGTTTTAGCTTTCTATGATAAAGAGCAAAGAGAATTACACCATTAGTGTCTGTAAAAGACAATTCTATAAGAACAGATGGGGTCAGTGGAGTCATAATGGTGGTTTTATTCTCACCTCCAATGAACACATGAACAGAAGTTTTTATTCCAGATTACTGAAAAGAAAATATAAAATTCTACCAGCGCTTTCTATATGAAAGACTATAAAACAAAAAATTGTGTTCATAATTTATCTAAAGGCCTTGGTTATTTCCAATTTAAATTCAGCTAAAAAATTGTCAATTAGTAAGATAAATTATTTAATGCTTATAAAATTTTAGTTAGGTAAAAGAGATAATATGTGAGGAACAGAATGTAGATTAATTAATTATAGGAAGCTAATCTAAATTAACAATAAGACTGACTTTAGTATTTTTAGAAAAAAATAAAATTTCATCACTTGAATCCAGTAATATTATTAGAATCCTCTTAAGATTTAGTATAATAAAAATAATTTGAAAATAGCATGTAAATTATTTAGTAGAAATAATTCCTTCACGTGTCCTCTAAAGGCCTAGTAAACAGATTATTAAATCCCATTAGATTATTGACTTCTATTAGACATGTTATAAGATTAAACTGATATTTTTTCTAGACTATTTTGGCAGCATTTATTTCTCAATTTCATTTTATATAAAGCTAGTTGCAGAGAATTCAAAATGTGATTGTTTTTTCATAGATAAAACCTTTTCAACTCCCTTTATTAACTATTTTAGGAATAGCATTTATTGAAGTATCTTTTATTCAACTTGGTAAATAAGGATTCCCTGGCTTCACTATAAATGCCGGAGAACCCAGAAAAAAAATTTTAAGAAAAAAAAGAAAAAATGAAGAAAACTTCTGGGGTTCAATACAGAATATTGGACAAGGAGCTCGGGGAATAACATGTATTAATAAAAACACTTTGAGAAGGTAGGATAGGCATGGTGGCTTAGGCCTGTAATCCCAGCACTTTGGGAGGCCGAGCTAGGAGGATCGCTTGAGGCCAGGAGTTCAAGACCAGCCTGTACAACATAGCAAGACCCGCTTTTCTACACAAACAAACACACACCATAAATATATACATGACTGACTGACTGAATGAGAAGGTATAAGATCACTGCTACTAGTCATCACAAGTTGAGTTTTGTGCTTTCAAGTTCTTGGGTTTGTTTTTATTTTATTTTTACATAAATTCCTTACAGGGGAGTAGGAGTGAAAAGGCAATTTAAAGGCAGATAAACTAATAGTAGGAAGGAATAATGGTTTATAGTTTCATCATAGGAGTCAGAAAATTTAAATAAAAATAAACCTAAGAACTAAAAAGCATTTGATAGAAGGAAGAAATAACAGCATAATGGTATCAGCAATGGAATTTATGTAAAAATAAAATAAAAACAAACCCAAGAACTTGAAAGCATTTTACAAAGGACAAAGACCTATGTATAATTACTATATA